GGATGTCAATGTTTTCCATCATTAAGATGTCAAGGCAGTTCTGACTTCACCCAGAAAACTTACCCTTGTGTGTTTATAGGTTACAACCCTATTCACAAGAGTATATATATCGCGGCATGTAGTTTTCGATGAACAAACCTTTTCTTATAGGCTTCAACGGGAAAAAAAGGAAATTATTAAATTGTCCTCTAATTAAATATTATTTATAGCCCTCTATATTTAAAAACTTAGCAAAAACAACCCTATAATAAAAATTTGAAAAATCAACAATGCACCCTTACCAACCCAGCCACTATCGGCCACCAGTAACCACAACCAGCCACCGACAACTAGCAACCTAATGGCGCACAAAAGGCTGGAAGTGACCCTCGTGCACCGATATGGCCAGATTGTGATAGATCTGACCCGAAAACGATCATTTTCGAGTAGATCCGTCGATCTGGTCATTGACGACATGATCGATGACTATTAACGGCCACAGAAAATGGAGGTTATGAGATTACCTTCAATATTATCAACAGTAAATACTATTGATATTGAAATATTACTAGAATCTTATATTACTTGATAACCAAACGTAATAATTAAATAATATAGGATGACATAACCTCAATAATCTTATATGATCCCAACCAACCAAACGCACTCAAAGATACACGAGAGAAACGTTTGAAAACATTTGTCGCAGACAAAATTGAGTGTGTTGGGTTCCAATCTGGATCATGCGGCTGCCACTCCCATAACATAGTTAATGGGTTTTATAATTACATTCTGGTTGGCTAAGCGCTTGGGAGTTTTTCATTGGCCTATCAACAAAAAACACAGTGATTTGATTGGTATATTTTGACCAATCCTAAAAATTCGACAAACTTCTCTCCCAATAAAGTATGATTAATTAAAAATTCGGCATGTGGAATACACTTGAGCAACACCATCAATCGACATATAACAAAAAAAGAACTAGTAATATAATCAAATCGGTGTCCTTTTTTAGTATAAACAAAGTTAAAACACAATCTAATACCGCCCCACTTAAATTGAATGAAGTGGGTAATTGATCCCATAATCTTCAGTCACTAGTGGTGTGTCTCTTCTCTAGCTAGTTGACTTTCATAATTGTTTATTATATTGATGTGTCCTTTTATGTTAACACAAAGCAGCTTCAAGAAGGAAAAAAAAGTGTTTCCATTATAGAGATAATGGCTTTGAAGATGCTCCACATTTGCGCATTAAGTAAGCTCCCACGCAGTGACGGTTTGTTTTGTTAATTAGCTGCGTAACTCCACTTCCATCGGCTTTCATTTAACTACAGACGAATTAAATTAATTTTATTGTAATTATGATACGTAAAGGAGATCAAATTCTAATAAACTCATGCTTGTGACGTGTCCATTCATGAAAAGCAACTATATATCAGAATGAATTTTATTTTACAAAAATAAATTGAACATTATGTGCTAAACTTAGTGGTAATGCAACAAGTTCAGTCAATGTCAACATCGAATAAGGAACTTGCTTGCTGTATTGTGTCTCGTGTGGATCACTTAACAGATGAGATATGTGAAACAAAAAATTATTAATAATTCAACGATATATAATATCGACGTTTTGTTCATATGCACTTGAATTAAAGAGATCCACAATTTGCATATATTTCAGAAAATGAACTTGTAGAATTTTATTGTGGAACGCAAGGTAGAGAAGCGTGTCAAATTCATCAACCGCTTACCCAACTTCGATAAACAAATTCTGCCAAACACAATAAACTCTTTTTTTTTTTTTAATAAAAATTGTTGGAGAATTTAAAAAATAAAAAATAAAGAGTCTTGAAAAACCCCTTTCGAAAAGAACTATTATGTGTTTTTCTTATAAAAAAAAATTGTTTATGCATTTTTTTTCATAATTCATAATTAAAATATTTGANTTTTTTTTTTTTTTTTTTTTGTAAAATAATAATATTTTAATTATATGAGTTAATTTTAGAAAGATAAAATTATCTTTCATAAAAGAGTGAAAAAAAATAAAAAAAATTACGTGTCATATTGAAATAATCGAAGTGAATAAACACAGGTTTTGGGAAGACTAAATAGAATATACGCTAATTGCATTGAAGAAGGCTGAAAAATGAAAGGCGTGTGTACAACTTATCCATTGACTATCGTTTTCAAGGAAAGTGGTAGAGGATTATCGGCTCACAAGAAACATGCAAGGAATTAATTTAATTTCGATATCTAAATGAAGAAAAACCTGTCCCGCGTACTGTTCAGGTTGCGTTAATTAGATTGACTAGTGGATTCAATTATAGTCACAAAGCATGTGTGTGTGTGTGTGTATATATATATATATATTGGTTATATTGAGTTTGACTACATATTTTCTTTTTTAAATTTCATCCACACATCAACCAACTTCTTATGAGTTTAATCTCTATGAATTATATTGTTGATGTTTGATTTTGACATCAACTATTCACGCGTGTAAAGTGCTAAGCTAACTTATAAATCATACGTCGTATGGAAGTGTAAAAGAGATATTGAACATGTAGTAATTTTTAAAGTAGTCCGGATGCTTTAAGACGAATCCTATGTCCATTGTGATTATATTAATAGTAAATTACAATCAGGTTACACTTGACGAGCTAAATTATAACCGAGAAAATAAATGTAGAGAGAGAGAGAGTGTGTATGCTTTGAGTGGTGGATGAGCCAATTATGTAACATAGAGGAGAGCCCTCTGTTTATAGTTAGAGGGATTCAAGCTAGTAATCGTGATTCTGCGTGCGGACAGGTGTGGTACAATTCCTAACCCGCTTTCCATTGGTTGTCTTCACGAGAAATATCTTTAAATCGCATACAGTTTTAGCAGGTGGACAATTTCTAGCCACTCATAAGTCTGGCGTTCACCTGCCTCACTGACGATGACCTTACCCATCTCGTCCTTGCGGGACGTGGCTGCATCTAGACGGCAAAAAACTTTCCTGAATTCTGGTTGGTTTCTGGGATTTATGCTTACGTCAGCCCTTTGGACATAACACATATCACGTGGAAATCAAACCAAAAATCCGATCGTCAAATAAAATAATAAATAAATTAAATAAATTACCTTTCTTTATTATTTTTTATTTTTAACAGAACTCGGAATACAAAGGACTGTTCTAAGTCATAGTGTCATACCAACCATGAACCATTTAGATGTCATTGACAAATTAAATAAATAAATAAAACCAATGAGCAGACTTTTTATGCAATGATAGAATATGCTTTAATTAGCAATAAGAGAAAGTCTTATATTAATAAAAGGATATTGTCACAAACCAATAAACAGAAGTTACATAAATATAAATATTAAATTTGATAAACTACAAATCATATTGATTTGAGAAGAAAAAAATAAACATAACTTAAAAATAATATTAGTTTGTGGTATGACTTATGTGATGAACTGATGATACACCTATATAAGTTTGATCGAGTCATTTTCTTTCTTTCTGCATGCCATTTGTCGACTGCAATTCAGTAAGGAATTGTCTATATAGGAGAAAAGTTCACATGTTAAAAAGAAAAGTTCATAATCCACAGTCATCCAAACACCAAGGAAACTGTATAAAGCATCTCAGATCAGTACAGATATTTCATAAGTGCATGATTGACGGTTTGTTTAATGCATGATTATGAAGTTCACATTACCCAAGGTAGGATACTTGTTTCAGTGTACAAATACATGCTAAATCAGAAATGAGTTGTCGACATGCTCATTTCTAACACCATTGTGATGGTCCTTCAGCCAATACATTAGTGACCATGTTTTGTTTATCTGTCAACAAATTATTATAGGAAGAAAAAAAAAAAAAAAAAAAACATTAGGAATAATATATTTGTTGATGTTGATTTTGATACCAACGACTTGTACATGTAAAGTGCTAAAAGAGTCTTAAAAATTACACGTGATGGATTCATGAGATTTGAATATGGTACTGAGATTATATATGTTTGCAGAAAATATAAATAATAGATAGACAAGAGAGGTTTTTATAGTGATTAAGATATTTAAAACAAATCTTACATCTACTGTTATTTTATTATTCTCTGACTATTTCTATGATATTGCCCGTAAGGCATACAAAGATGGAGAAATATTTTATTTACAGAGAGAAATAATGAAGCTCAAATTTTGCCTAGCTTTCATCTGCCCAGCCCCCTCTTTTACGAAGAGAGGTATCAATTTATATACCTTTGAGGTCAATGTAATAAGTGTTTTTGCAAGTTGTTTTGACATATAGAGAGCTCTTATTCAGACTTATCTTAAAATGAGATAGAGTTGATACAAAATATATTTGAGGCAATATGAGTTTAATAGTTAGTATACTTTGTCTTTTAAACACCTATTGAGCTGACATCATTGTGATTTTGTAGGCACAAAAATATTATAATATGAAAGCTCCAATATTATTGACAATTACGAATAATTTTGAAGTTGTAATCATAATAAATGTATTGATAATTAAAAGCTTTACCTCAATTATTTTCCTATAGAATCCAAACATTATTTCTAAATCTCTATATTATCAAGTCCTATTTGCATCAATTAAAGACAAAACTACTATATATAGGGTATTAACTCTTCGACTTTTGTTGAAAAATCATGTTTTGCATGTTTCCTAATTCTCATTAACAAAATTTATTTTCCTCTTATCGGAAATTCTGAAAGGCTTGGATTGGATTGGCTGATTTTATAATAGGTGTTTTGAGGTTTTATTAACCAGAAATAGACAATGGCGTCTTATCTGCATGAAACTGCAACTCCGCAGTAATTTTGGGTTGATTTTCACTTTTGTCAGTTATTTATAATTTGATATTTTATTTAATATGATTAAAAAAAAATGAAATATCCAGAAAATATGATAATTACTGTATAAGCCAGAAACTGCCATAAAATGCCATATATCATCTGACTGTTAAATCTCCGCCCTTCCTTCCTTATCACAACCACCTCTCTCTATATCTCTTTTGTCTCACCAAGTGGATGAGAGCTTCATTTCAAACCTCGTTAATGGTTAAGCACTCTTCATTATCCTACTTCTGAAAAACTTCACTCTCCTTGCTGTGCTGTTTTTAGCTTATATCTTTTATGGTTTTTACACATATTTCAAGTAACGTCTCTTGTTAGTTTGGTGTGCAATCATCCCGAGGATTTTGATAGTACATTAAACACCCTTTTTTTATCTCTTCTTCAATCCTTGGAATTTCAGAATTCCTCCGTGTCTTCTGCTTCTGTTTCTGCTACTTGGTATATGTTTATAATGCTTCTTAACTCTTTAAACTAGTTCATGTTTGTTGTAGTACTAAAAGAAACAAGTAATTGTTCTTCTGAACTTTCTGAATTTTCATTTTCTATCTTGAGTGCCTTTCTGGTTTGGACTTTACTGTAATTCTGATTGTTTTGCCAGTTCTGAGCAATATTTCTCAGTGGGTATTGGATTTTAAGATTTAATTAACTACAGCAGTACTGTAAGACCACATAGGAATTATGAATCGTTGACGTTGTTTTATTTGGTTCATATAATGAAACTGTTCTCAGATATATCTGATACAGGTATATTCACAGAGCTTAAAGTTTTAGCTTAGTTCATCTTCGCAAGGTTCAAAATGGCTCCAAGGAACAGTCGCGGCAAGGGTAAAGGCGAGAAGAAGAAGAAGGAAGAGAAGGGTACGGATTAATTAACTTTCAATATTGTTCATCATCTTCATTCAATTCTTTGTTTACCATTTAATCAGCTATAATATTAAAATCTTGTTTATTAAATTCCAGTTCTGCCGGTTGTTATGGACATCACCATAAACCTTCCCGACGAAACTAGCGTTATTTTAAAGGTTTGGTGCTCCTAATTGAAGTTCATGGCTCTTGTGTTGAAGTTTAGTTTGAGTAAATTCAGCTAGAATTATGCCCACATAATTTAATTTTTTCGATGCAGTTGCAAATCAGCGCCACCAACTTTGTGACAGTGCCATTTGTGTGTCTTCATTCTTTAATTTTCTTGGACATTTTATACTTTTTTATGCTTGCAAGATTTATTTTCTTCCTCTTTATCTTGACTATTCTAATGTTAGCCGTCGTGCCAAGCATCTTATTGGATATGTTTCCACGGTATACACTAGTTGGTGAACAACACTCTATTGATACTAAGCATAGTAAACGAAATTGGTTTTGGAATTGAAATAGTGCTGTCGTTTTCTTTCAACGTGTTTTACATCACTTGATTCATCCGTTCCGTATTTTACTAGAGAGATGATAGGCGTGATCATAACTTAATGAATTTTGACTGTGTTTTGTCCAATTAGAAAATTGAATGCTTGCTCTTGACTTTTGTATTGACATAAGATGAACATTGGAATTACGAGCAGGGAATATCAACGGACAGGATCATAGATGTTCGTCGGTTGCTGACTGTGAACACTGAAACTTGCAGTATCACAAATTTTTCATTATCTCACGAGGTAAAAAGTCCTTGTTTAATTACACATGAAGATTTGGCATTGTTTTATCAAATCTGTTTGAAGTTTGAACTTGTTTAATTACACACGAAGGGTGTTTTCGTAATTTAATCCTTTACTTATTGGATTTCGTAATAAATGGTAGGTACGCGGGCCACAGTTAATGGACACTGTCGACGTGTCAGCATTAAAGCCCTGCGTTCTCACTTTAGCGGAAGGTAAATCTCTTTTAACGCGAATTAATTATTATTAACGGTTCCGTTTACCGTGTGTCGTTTTGGCGCCTATATAAATAAATAAATAATCCGTGATTTTTGCCTCTCAAATTTCAAAGAGGATTACGATGAGGAGCGGGCCGTGGCGCACGTTAGACGACTGCTGGATATCGTCGCATGTACGACTTGCTTTGGGCCATCCGGTGCAACCAAGGACGGCGCGAAGTCAGACGTGGCCAAGAATGCGGTTGATATTAAGAGCGCCAAGAAAACTACGGCGAAATCCAGTAATGACAAGCAATCGCCACCACCGCCATCATCCAAAATTTCAAAATCACCGTCGTCAAATGACGTGCCCGTTGACGGAGACGGAGATATGAGCCACTCCTGCCCTAAACTCGGCAGTTTTTATGAGTTCTTCTCTCTTTCACACCTCTCTCCTCCTCTTCATTGTAATCTTCTCTTTCTTTGCATCTCTTTATAAAAAGTATTTTAAATGTTTATATTTATTAACGACGGCGGATGTGCATCTTACAGTTATAAGGAGGGCAACGAAGCGGCATCTCGAAGACGTTTCCGCTGATGATCATCTTTTATCACTTGATGTAGGAGCTTCTTACTTATTGATTGATCTTACACAAGTGATTTAGATAATGTTATTTTGTAATTCGTCTTTGGAATTTAAGATTTGTTGTTAATTTCAGGTGAAGCTTTGCAGTGGGAAGTTGCTTCATGTTGAAGCTTGTAAGAAGGGTTTCTATAGTGTAGGAAAGCAGTCGATACTTGGCCACAATCTTGTTGATTTGTTGCGGCAGCTTAGCCGAGCCTTTGATAATGTCAGTTTTTTTACTGTTAATTTAGTTTCTCTATATTATTATCTCTCATATAATATGGATAGCTTTTGGATATAATGCCCTAATATACATAAAAGGTAGCAAATATGTGTTGGCATTTGGTCTTTTATTTTAGTTGTAGTTTTAATTGGATCGGAGGTTTCAGATTCTGCCGAACTTCTTTTTACCTTATGCTATTTTCACTTGATACTTTCTTTTTTGGATGGTAAAATATTTGGTTGAAGTTATACATCTCATTTTTATCATTTCAGGCTTATAGTGATCTCATGAAAGCATTCTCGGAGCGTAATAAGGTGAACAATTGTTTCAATAATTAATGTTATTTAATTTTGAATTTTAACATGTCAAATATTCTTTGAATAACATTGTAAAAGAGCTGTTTAATAAGATAGTTTTAGGAATTCTTACTTTGTAGGCCCTGTTTTATGCTATTAACCAATTCTATTGTACCTTGTAGTTTGGGAATCTTCCTTATGGTTTCAGAGCAAATACATGGCTCATCCCTCCTATTGCAGCACAATTACCATCAGTTTTCCCTCCTCTTCCGGCAGAAGATGACGCTTGGGGAGGAAATGGAGGTGGTCTAGGAAGAGATGGAAAAAGTGATTTGATACCTTGGGCTTCTGAGTTTTCGTCTCTTTCATCTATGGCTTGCAAGACAGCAGAAGAGAGACAGATCCGAGACAGGAAAGCGTTCCTTCTGCATAGCTTATTTATTGATGTTGCTATTTTCAAAGCCATCAATGCAGTGCAGCATGTTATGGGAAGATCGGATCTAACCTGTTCAACTAACACCGAAATTCTTTATACTGAGAAAATTGGGGATATGAGCATCGTGATTATGAAAGATGCAACCAATGCAAGCTTTAAAGTGGACACCAAAATTGATGGAACTCAAGCAACTGGAGTGGATAGAAAGAATTTAGTAGGAAGAAACCTTCTGAAAGGGATCACTGCTGATGAAAATACCGCTGCACATGTAAGATTTAAAATGTTATTAACTGATGATGTTATCTCTTTGTGGTTGAGATGTTATCTAATTTCCATGAAAATGTTTGAAGAAGGCTTTACATTTTGATTGCAGGATGTTGCTACCCTTGGTGTTGTCAATGTAAGATATTGTGGCTATGTAGCTATTGTGAAAGTTGATGAGAGAGGGAACAAAAATGTTGGTCCTCCATCTCAAAGCGTTGAACTTGAACAGCCTGAAGGCGGCGCTAATGCTCTAAATATTAACAGGTTTTTGCAAACTCTGCAATGTTGTTTCAAAAATATTATATATTAGTATTTGTTGCCCCTTTTAAGGCTTGAGAATTTCAATAGGTTTTTAATGACTAAAGTAAAAATTTGAAGCTTAGAATAGCAATATGATCTTGTTATCGCATACTGTTTTAGTCTTTGCCTATGTATGCCACAGTCGGGTACTTAATCTGGTCATTCTTTAATTCTTATTCTTAATTGACTATGTAATTCTTATTTTGAGTCCCTTGAAGTTTTGAAGATAGTAGGGTAGCTGAATTCTGCATGTGAATTATTACTTCTTTAAATTCTGTGCTATTTGATGCATTGTATCATTCATTTTGTGGCTACAATATATGTTTATTTTATTTTATTTTTTTTTTTTTGGTGGTGGTTTTCCTTTAGTTATTTAGCGTAATTATGCAAAGTCTAAGTCCCACATTTTCTGACAGTTTAAGATTACTTCTTCACAAAACAACACCTTTAGAACACAATAAACTGTTGCCACATTTGCTAAATTTGGAACGAGAAGAGCTTAATGCTTCCCAAGCATTTGTGGAGAGATTGCTAGAAGAGAGTATTGCTAAACTTGAGGAAGAGGAACCAGAGCAGGATCAGTTTGTGAGATGGGAACTTGGAGCCTGTTGGATACAGCATTTGCAAGACCAAAAAAATGCAGAAAAAGACAAGAAACCAACAAATGAGAAGGCTAAGAATGAAATGAAGGTTGAAGGGCTTGGTACGCCTCTTAGGTCGCTTAAGAACAATAAGAAAAAATTGGACGGAAGCAATCAGAAAATTCAGTCTGAAAATTTAAAATCCCATGCAGATGGAGTTACCGGGGAATCTGAATATTCTACTAAAGCTTCTATAGAAGCTCAGCTTGAAACCAGCGCCAAAGATAATGAGCTTGCACTTAAAGAGATGCTGTCTGATGAGGCGTTTGCTCGACTAAAAGAATCTGAAACTGGACTTCATCGTAAGGTAATATTTGTTGATATCATTTTGGGGCAGGATATGTTAAATATCCTGCTGTGTATAATACAATACAGTGGGAACTAATTTACCATGTATTTGACAGTCTTTGCTGGAATTAGTTGACTTGTCCAACAAATATTACGTTGAAGTTGCTCTACCGAAACTGGTAATTATTATTTGATTATTTTTCCTGTGGATCTGTATGTAAATAAGGTTATGGTGATTCTTTCTTCTAGTACTGATTATGCAATACAGGTAGCAGATTTTGGTTCTCTGGAACTTTCTCCCGTTGATGGCCGGACTCTGACAGACTTCATGCACACTAGAGGCCTTCAGATGCGTTCTCTGGGACATGTTGTAAGTGCCTTTTTCTGAACTGGGGTTTTGCTGCTTCAGTTTGTACATATATACATGTTCCTGAGGGAATCTCTATTTTATATTACTCAAGTCATTTGAAATGTTACCATAGGTTAGATGATATGTATCTGTGTTTAACATGCTAGTGTTGGGATCCTTATGACATATGCACACACTTGCCAAATTGATGTTAGTCACACTCTTTTAAGAGTATTTTCATTATCAATTACTGCTGCTGTATGTCTCCATATATCTTCTAAAATTTCAACTCTTGTTAGAACAACGGATTGTATGCCTGTCAAAGTTTGTAAATTATGTGGATCCAGAATATTAAGATGGGGCGCAATAGGGGTAGGTGAGAGGAATTTAAGACTGGTTTGTCGATATAAGAAATAAGTAAATCTTGGGTGGACCACTTATATATTCTTTCTAAAATATCATTTGAACTAATAATAAAACTGCAGAATCATATACACCGTAAACATAGCTTAATCTCCTTTCTGATTTTGTCTGCCTCACTTTGAGTATTAATGACAATTGCAGCATTAGACTTAATCTAGTTTGCAAATTGTTAGAACCATCTAAGGATTTATATCCTAATGAAAATGAGGAAACATCTAATATATCAAATGCTACATGTAGGGGCTTTTCATTGTCTCTGATGTTGGCTATTTGTTTTCAAAACCAGGTGAAGCTTTCAGAAAAGTTGTCACATGTGCAATCACTCTGTATCCATGAGATGATAGTTCGAGCCTTTAAGCACATTCTTCAGGCTGTGGTATCTGCTGTTGGTAATACTGAGAAAATGGCAGTATCAATAGCTGCTGCACTGAATCTGATGCTGGGGGTTCCTGAAAATAAAGAACTAAATAAGTCTCGTAATGTCCATTCCCTTGTGTGGAGATGGTTGGAGGTGTTCTTGATGAAGCGATATGAATGGGATCTTAATAGCTTAAATGACAAAGATGTTCGGAAATTCGCAATTCTACGGGGATTATGTCACAAGGTATTTGACATAAACTACAAATTTTAACTTCCAAAGTTTTTTGGAACTACCTACATTATGCAACACTGATTTTATGGATTTGCAGTTCTCTCATTTATGATAACTTTTATTTCAGTCAGTAGCATTTTATATTAGTTTTGAAGAATTGATGGCAGGAGAAACACCCATTTGTTGTTAAACCTGAGATTTTTCATATGAATGGATGATTTGATTGTCATCATATGTTCAAAGACTTTTTCCAAATTATGGATGTGCACTATATGATTCTAATTTGATGGCTAAAATTCATGAGTAAATTTATATTTAGGCAGGTATTACTCTCTGAAACCCATCAAGTGATTACTATACCAAAGTATTCCCAATATCCGAATTTATGTAGAGATTTTTAAAATGGGTCAATTGTAAGATATACACAGATAAATTAAATGTTTTACTCAGTTGGGAAAGTCGGGACTGGAAAGTAATTGTTACTGGCTGCAATACAAACAATATCTTGCATCTGCTGAGAAGTTTATAGGTCATGAATCTTATATTACGAATGAAACATTAACTAAGCATTTTATTTTATCGTTTAAGGTGGGCATTGAGTTGGTTTCAAGGGATTTTGATATGGATTCTCCAAGCCCATTTTGGAAAACAGATATTGTCGGCCTGGTGCCTCTGCATAAGGTAATGAATAAGAAATTGAATGATAGAACATGTTCCTTTCTACCTTGCATCTGAAATGTTGAATTTTTCTGTACTTCATTCTTAATTGCATTTTCCAATTATTTGCAGCAAGCAGCATGCTCATCTGCAGATGGAAGGCAACTCCTGGAATCGTCAAAAACTGCTTTGGATAAGGGAAAACTTGAAGATGCAGTTACCTATGGAACAAAGGTGCTTCCTAGACTAACTTAAATCTGGCTTTAGTATAAGTCAGTATTAAGGTGCTTCAGAAACTATTTCTTCATCTTACTTCTTTCCTTCTGTGGTATGTAAAGGCCCTTGCAAAGCTGGTAGCAGTTTGTGGTCCCTACCATCGAATGACTGCAGGTGCTTACAGCCTCCTTGCTGTAGTCTTGTATCACACTGGAGACTTTAATCAGGTTTGTTGGCTATCCATTTTGTTCTAGTGTTGCTAAGACATCTTAGCACCAATAGTTTTTTAGCTTCTCAAAATTTTATTTGAATATTCTTATAAATGCACAAGATGGGTGCCCGCATAAGGATTTGGTTAACTGTTTAAGCACCTTAACAACTGAAATTAGTATTTGCATTTCTCTATGATGAATATTTTCAAGACAATCGACAATCTGTCCATAATACAGGCAACAATTTATCAGCAAAAAGCTTTGGATATCAATGAGAGAGAACTAGGACTTGATCATCCAGATACGATGAAGAGCTATGGGGATCTTGCTGTGTTCTATTATAGACTTCAGCACACAGAGCTAGCTCTCAAGTATGTTTTATTCCTGACAAACTTGTAGGTTTACATTAACTCTGTATTAAGCCTTTGATCAAATGGTAGGAGTAAAGAACTGAAGCCTTATACAAAATTATCAAAAACTTTTTCATGGTCAAAATCACATTTCTGAATTAAGTTTTTTTAATTGGTTTTCCAAAATGGCACACTAGTTTTCCTTTTTCACTGATGATGATGAGTACCAGCATATCCAATTAGGTCTCCAGACTTTCAAATTTTTTTGATCTCGGAATATTATGAAGAATGCCCCTTCCTTTCTCTTTTAGTACGAAACAAAAGGATGATGGATGACGTGATACACCGTATGATTGATTGATTTCTATGAAGATTTCAGGAACTTGTTTCTAGTTTAGATTTTTTAATATTCTTTTTTCTTTAAATAACTTCCAGTTTTATCTTTGCTTATACATTTTATTAAGTTTCCCTTTTTTCCCCTTTTCAAAAAAGTCCTAGTGACATCATGTTAGTCATTCCTGAAGATTGTACACTTATTAATGCCTAGAATTGCTGTTGATCAGATATGTTAAGCGTGCTCTATATCTTTTGCATCTCACTTGTGGCCCATCTCATCCAAACACTGCTGCAACATACATTAATGTGGCCATGATGGAAGAAGGACTTGGGAATGTGCATGTTGCCCTCAGATATCTTCACAAAGCACTGAAGTGTAATCAAAGGTTACTTGGTCCAGATCATATACAGGTTTGGTTTTGTTTAGTTTATTTAACTTTTCATTTAAATTTTGGCCAAAGTTTGTAAATGTTATACTATTTGTATACTCTGATAATTTCTCATTGATGGTTGAATGAGACATTACATATAGCACTATGCCACCACTATAATTAAGCCTATCAGTCCATGAAGCTTGAGACTTGGACAATTTTGGTGTGTGGAATGGGACTGCGGTATGTCAGTATAGAATATGACATGATAAGGGTAGGCCTGTTAATACTGTAAATAGGAAAAAAAAACTGGAAATGCCTATCTAGAGCCGATTGATTGGACCATGATAATTAATAAATTGCAGTAAGAGTGAGTTAGTGCTAACTCATATGGAAAAACAATTCTGATATGGTGTTTTGGTGACAATGCAGATTTTTTTTTAAGGAATGAATAATTGACTTCTGAATTTTTATTTTGCACTGTGGGCATGCTCATACTACACGTTACCACTGGAATATCTAATGGAAGATTTATTAAATATTCCAGTTTACTGAAATTTTTGTCTGCAGTTATAACTAGATTTCTCTGTTTGTGTTGATGTTCTCCAGACCGCAGCAAGTTACCATGCCATAGCAATTGCACTCTCATTGATGGAGGCATACCCTTTGAGTGTTCAACATGAACAAACAACTTTGCAAATTCTTCGAGCAAAGCTGGGCCAAGATGATCTACGTACACAGGTATTTTAATCTTAGTTACAAGAGTTTTACTCAACAATTTTGGTTTTGTTTTTTTGGAGGCCCTTGTGCTCACCCTAGCTTAGTCGTAATACAAGTGTTTTTGAATTATGTGGGAAATAATACTTCATTGCCATTATTCATTAATGAAATATTTGGCGTAAAATATGCAATCAAATCGGAGTTTGTATTTTTTACTCTTCAAATGAGGAGCTTTAAACAATGAGTTCTGACTTCACATCAAGACAACTTTATATTTAGATTTTATGCTGTGGTGGTGGTAGGATATTTGGTGTAGTCCAACGAACCTTCTAATCATTAATACTTGATTACAAAATTTGTGATCTGATGCTGCAGGATGCTGCTGCTTGGCTTGAGTATTTTGAGTCCAAGGCTTTTGAACAGCAAGAAGCTGCACGAAACGGTACTCGGAAGCCTGATGCATCCATAGCCAGCAAAGGCCACTTGAGGTAACTTGTTTAAGTGCTGTCCTAGATGGTATGGACCTTTATGCGATTGTTGATTTGTTTAAACATTTATGTTTAGGATGTGATGCATTTTCTTTCATATAGAAAGACCCAATCCTTTCGTTGCTAATACCTTGTTCTTCTTTTAACAAAAATTGACAGTGTATCAGATTTACTTGACTACATTAATCCAAGTCATGATGCCAAGGGAAGAGATGTCTCAGCCCTAAAGAGAAAGAGCTATATTACAAAGGTATGTCGTCGTTTAGGTAACAATCAGTCAAGTAAAATTTTGGCTTGTGGTGGGACTTATGTATTTTTACATAACCATTTTGAATATGCAAATATCTGAGTGAAGCTTAAGCTTTACACTTGGGAAAGAGTTTCTAAATTGTTTGTGATGGTTACCATGTGTGGTCCATTGTGTCAGATAAACTCTAGATCTCTGCATTGTAGTTGGTCATACTTAATATAAATTTTTGCAGGTGAAGGGAAAATCGTTCCGAGATATCAATATCACAAGTTCTGATGAATCTCCCAAAGAAGATCTGAAAGAAAGTTCAGATGATGAGACACATGTACCTGAACCAGGAGCTGACGTAGAAGTTAACCAGGGGATTAGCGCTGTACCGTTTCAGCAGCAGCAGCTTGTGGAGGAAGAGGCTACAAAGGAAAATTTCAACGTTGCCAAAGAAATTTCATCTGAAACACACGATGGAGGAGATGATGGATGGCAACCAGTTCAAAGGCCCAGATCTGCTGGCTCATATGGACGGAGGATAAAGCAGCGGCGAGCGACAATTGGCAAGGTTTATAGTTATCAGAAAAGGAGTATGGATGCAGTTGTGGACTACCCACCAGTCAAGAATACTCATCAGAACAGTAGGTATTATCTTTTAAAGAAACGGACAATATCTCATGGAAGTTCTGTGGACCACACTGTGAATTCTTTGCAAGGTACCAAATTTGGACGTAGAGTAGTTAAGGCTGTAACATACAGGGTAAAGTCCACTGCTTCATCTACCAAAACGGATACAAAAGAAAATGCTAGAAATGGTGGTGAGCCCTTAAGTTCTCCATCAGTATCTCACCCCACTTCTGTACCAAATGATCTCAGTTCGATGAAAAAATCAATAATCAGTCTTGGAAAATCTCCTTCTTACAAGGAAGTGGCATTGGCCCCACCAGGTTCCATTGCAATGTTGCATGTAAGAGCTCCCCAAAGTGATATTCCAGATAATCAAGAATTCAGTGTTGGGAGATGTGAAGATGAAGGAAATGAAGAAAAAGAAACTGTTAATACTGGCACAGAAAACTTTGTTGAAGAGAAGAACAGAAATTCTATAACGGAATCAACTGATAACTCAAAAGAGGAAATTGGCATTGTTGAAAAGAGGGAAGAAACTCAGTTAAATGATTTGGTGGAAGGTAGTCCTTCTTTGATGTTGTCTAAGAATGGGAAAGAACTTCATTCTCGTGTTGTTGAGGTTCATGAAGTGGTACAGGATACTAGATTGATTGATGGTATACCCAATTCAATTGATTCTCCTCCAAGGGAATTTTATGAGAATGATTCATCCAGAGGTTTGGAATCCCCTGATAATTCAAACCCTGATGTGCAAGTATTAAAGGATTTGAAGGACAAACCTCTGCCTACGAATTCAGATGATACTAGGGGATTACCGAACAGGAAATTGTCTGCATCAGCAGCACCATTCAACCCATCACCAGGTGTTTCACGTGCACCAGTAGCCATGAACATGACTATGCCTCCTGGTCCTGTTACTCCTTGGCCTGTAAACATGACTCTTCACCCAGGGCCTGCTGCTGTCTTATCCACAGTTAACCCAATGTGCTCTTCCCCGCACCACCCATATCCGTCACCTCCTCCAACTCCTAACATGATGCAGCCATTGCCTTTTATGTACCCTCCTTATTCACAACCTCAAGCAGTGCCTACCAGTACATTTCATCACAATCATTTCTCATGGGCATGCAATGTGAACCGCAATGTATCAGACTTCATTCCTGGAACATTTTGGCCTGGCTGTCATCCAGTGGAGTTCTCTGTTCCACCACCAATTGTTGAGCCAATTGCTGATCCAATATTGAAGCCGAAATTGCAATCTGATGACGCTACAAGTCCAAGTTCAGTACCAATCCTGCCAGTGGATATTGATGCTGTGGAAGAAGCTAAGAACGAAGTGAACATTCAAGCATCTAAAGCTGTGGATAATGCAAATGAAGCTGTTGAGATTGGTTTGGAAAGTGTAAAGGAAAATGGTGATTCAAATCTAAGTGGGATTGAGAATGCCGGGAACAGGCCACATCATTTCAACAGTCCAAATGAAAGTTCTGGAAGTAGAGTTGAAAGAACTGAAGGTGAGAAAACCTTCAGCATTTTAATAAGGGGGAAACGGAACCGAAAGCAGACTTTGAGAATGCCAATTAGTTTGCTTAATCGACCATATGGGTCACAGTCCTTCAAAGTCATATATAACAGGGTAGTCAGAGGGAGTGAATCTCCAAAGTCAACCAGCTTTTCTTCAGCTGAAGATTCTGCTGCCAGTGCTATATAATTTAGGTTTTGTTTTTTTACAAAGCTAGTATAGCAGGTCCGTTGGGGAAAAAGAAAGAAGTTGCAAACCTTCATTCTATCATAAAAGGGACACAAGTTATTTTTTTTTTTTGTTTGTTTTCTCTTTTTTCCTTTTTTCTGGCATTCATCCGTACAAATTGCCTTGCCTCATCAGTTTTATGGTCACACTACACACCACCTTCTGAAAGGATGCAGGTTAGTCCACTTAACTGAGGTGTATGCAAATATGTATTGCTTCTTTTTCAGTGGATTTCTTGATGAAACATCATATATGTCATTGCCTACTTCACATTTTCTTTTTCTTTTTCAAATTTTTTTTTCGATACAAACTATAAGGGACAAAAATGGGGAAACTTTCTCATAATATTCTACCAATAAGATGGATATAATTGTGCGTAAGGTTTGTTTTCAAAACTAAAAATATTGATATCCACCAAAAATTTGCAGATACTCTGCTTTTGATGATATGCAAATGGATGCTGGTGATGAGGACCGAAAGGCTCTCTCTTCTGCATCAGGTATTGAAAACCACTGTTTTGTTTTAGATAAGTATAATGCTAAAGTTGGTATATAGATGATGTCCCTAGTGCCGTGGGTAAGAAAATGGATAGACATGAATCAGTTTTGGCATGTTGGACCTGCCCAATTTTATCCTTTCAGAGCTGGGTGCTATAAAATTTATAGACTCTGATTTGGAGCTTTCATTAATATTTATCGGCTGACCAAAGGTTTTGCTCATTTTGCAGGTTTACAATTTGAAGATTGCGCCTAGGACTCCCCATAGCTTTTGCTTGATTTGCAGGGTTATGATAGTAAGATACTCCTGGAAAATCATAGTTGTTTTTTTATGATAACAATTTTGATTCATTCATGATATGGTTAGGAAATTTTGGTATCTTGAAATTTAAGTTTTTTGATTTGTCATAGCAATAATGAGTTGGATCATTAATTTGATTTAATTGTACATGACTATTTTTTTTTTTCAAAGAGGCATTGACATATTGTTATTAGTTTACTCAGTAATTATCCTTCTTGTTTCCTTACAATACAATAAAGCCCCTCAAACAAAAAGGTGTGCCAATAATATATTGTACTATACTGAATGCCTCACCAAGTATTCCATTAATGCAATCCAGTTTACTTGTGATGATTCATTTTGAAGAGACAAAATTGACTATTTTACTTTTCCTTTTTCATTTTCTATCATAATTTATCTGTATAAAAATGAGTTCTCAAAAAGAAAATCCAGAAAAATCTTATTTAAAGGTACCTCTAAGCCTCAGTTGATCAGAAGCAACCGACATAAACTCTGTCCTCCACCATCAGTAGAAATTACAAATAGATAGTAAGGCCAAGTTTTTCAAGCAGATGTCTACAATTTTAGGGATCAATATAGGCTTGATAGAGACTGCCGATTGTTTAAGAATGCTGTGAATGTGCGAGGCATTTTCTTTCAAAATTTTTTTTATCACATTTAAATGATTCTTATATTAATGTAGTATATAAATGTATAATGTCGTATCAGAATTACTATATATATATTATGACCGAGGTCCGAGAGCGTTTGGACCAGCTTACGTATATCTCAACTAATCTCTTGAGACCTTGAAACTTCGGCCAATAAAAGCTCTAACAACTATCTCTGTTAACACTCGAAGAAGGATTTGAATTTAGAATCTTTTGAACAATACATCCGAGAGTCTTTATCAAACTACTCGATCATTCACAAGTAGCTCATTCGACATGTTTTTCACATACGTTTTAGTTGATAACATATTGGGATAGTGAATTAGTGATGAGTAGAATCATGTTGTGACAAACAAACTGAGATTTGGTTCCAACAGCCTTTTCCAAACGATTTTTTGATTGGTTACTTATGGCACAATGGATCGGATGAATCAAAGATGTTATCATAGAGGTTAAAATTTCTTCTAAAGAAAGAATAAAAAAGTTGATGAAAAAGGATATCATTAATAGATTATATTTACTTGGAAGAAACGTTGAACTCAAGTTTCCTTGTATTCCAAATCTTAGTGTGTAACAATAATGACTCATAAAATAAAGAAAAGGGTTACATCCAATGATCTTATATTTGGATAAATCACATACACGTTATTTTTGTGACAGGAACAGTGATGATGACATTATACCTGAACTCCTATTATTAATAGCCATGTGAATAAAAGTGGCGATGAGTAAAGTCTTTAGTCATGTAATTCTCAAGTTTGCCTCTTTGGATTTTTGGCTTATGGAAGTATGGCTGTATGGGTGTACCGTTCAACCTCCAATCAAAAAGATAGTTTTGAGTGTATTTATTGCAAGAGAAAAAATAGTGATGGCAGTAATAAATACGTTACTTAAACTGCAATTATCAAACTAAATCTTTACTTAACTATGAGTGTTAGTTTTATGTTCATGCGTGATTTTGACACCAATAACTCATACGTGTAAAATATTAAGTTGTTCTTAGAAATTATATATAAATAATTCATGAGAAGTGTTTCTGGTGCTGAGATAATATATGCTTGATGAAATATCAATAAAAAATTAGCAATAGGGATTTTTATAGTGGTTTGAAATTTTCGATACTTAAAGTGAATCTTATCTCTATTGTTATTTTATTATTTTCTGACTCTTTTTCTAATATTGCCTGTAAGACATACAAAAATGGAGAAATGTTTTGTTTACAAAGAAAAAATAATAAAGCTTAAATGTTTGTCTAACTCTCATATGCTCAACCAACCTCCTTTTCAAGAAGAGAGATACCTATTTATACTTTTGAGGTTAATTTAATGAGTATTTTTGTAAGCTATCTTGACATGTAAGGATAATTCTTCAATCTTTATCTTAAAATGGGATAAGATTAATATAAAATATCTTTTAAAGATAAATAATTTGGGTTTTTAACTGATAATACCACGATATCTTTAAATACTTGTTAAACTCTGATTAATAGAACTAATAAACTCTAATGAGTGATGCTGGCATTAATGTGTATTTATAGCATAATATAACAGACGGAATGCTTTTTTACGTATTCAAGAATTCAATTCATACGGCTAAAACTACATGGTGACCCTTTTGACTTTCTTTAATAAAACCATCGACGCCCACAAACACAGCACGTAAGAATATATATGACGAGTGAGGAGAAGCTGTAATGAAAAAGCAAGACGTGTCATGTATTAATAATAAAAGAGCTCAACTGCTCAAGTAGACCAATAATGTATAGTTGTATACCACATTGAGATACACCCTAGAAAGATCCCACAGGGTGGGGGTGGGTGACCCAGATACGCTCCACATATTTAAAAAAAAAAAGAAACAGTAACAGCTAACAACAACCAACAAGATTTAGTTAAAGTAAAATTCTTATAATTAATAAGTGAATGGCAATAATTGTAAATTACCGTCCTCCCTTTCATCATTCCACCTAATCTTTCTACCAAAACTTTGCTTATTTTTTAAACTCTCATCTCTTCTCTGAAACCCTTTGATGTTCATCATTTCACTCTAAACAATTTCGGCGGTGACTTTCTCTCTCTCTCTCTCTCTCTCGCAAAGCGTCTCTTTTCAAGAACTTCTGCTTCTCCTTTTTTTTTTTTTTTAACGCGGATTTATTTTATCGTTTCTTGTTTTTCTTCTAATTTTTTGTTCATTCTTCAATAAAATTCCCCATTTTGTTCAATAAATCTTCCTGTTTTGCAGAAATAGAATCATACCCATCAAAGAACTAGCCACAAGGTTGATAATTTTTTGTTTGTTTCTTGTTATATGAATGGAATTGGATAACATTGAATGTGTGCCATCCTCGGAATTGACTGATGAGGATGAGATCCATCACCATCATCATCAGTTTCCTTCAATTACAAAGCCTCATATTAATATCAACAATAACTCCAGCGTCTCTTCAGTTATTCATCCAGGCACCACCAGTGTCCATGAACTTCTTGAATGTCCAGTTTGTACTAATTCAATGTATCCTCCGATTCATCAGGTTTGTTCTTTGCTTCATGGGTTTTATTCCTTCTGTTTTTTCTTAATGAATTCATTATCACTTTTTACCTTTTTAATGTTTCGATTGTAATTATTGTGTTTTTATGATTGTTTCGTTGTGCCTGACAGCAGTTTTATCATTTCAAAATTTTGGTCAGATTTAGTCATTTCCTTTTGACTTATTTTGACTTATGGTCTTGAACTTGTTCTGGTAATTTGGTGTTACAATTAGCTGATAATCCGTAGTATTGCTAAAGGATTTTAGGCTGGTTGGTTGATCTGTGTTAGATTTTATGTATTTTGTTGCTGGAATATTTCGCGGTTGTGCTAGTACATTCATTCGGTGGAACATATTTAATCAAAAGTGTTTGGATTTTTTTATTTCTGAAAGTGGTGGTATCTGAATTACACGGGATTAAGAGTGAAGGGGATATGCCTGTTTCTGGTATATCCAAATAATGTTGGTTCTGGCCTATTTTTTAGCCTCTTAATGATCCAATCAGAACTTCTTTTTACTGAACTCTTATCTTATAATTATCAATGTGAAAGGGAATCTTGTAAGGAGCATATGGAAGATTGTAGCGGACCAGCTTTATGACATTGTAAAACTGTAAGAAAGTCATTGGTTCTCTCCAAGTTAAATTCCCCATGCTAGTAATGTAAATGACAAGCACCTAGCAACCATAGAAAATGGTTAGGTGAGAAGCACCTAACTTCTCATGCCGCTTTGGTATTTTTGCTACACCCTGTACTATTGCTAAATAGCAACCATGACAAAAGGGCAATTGTGAGGTGGTGCTGGGTACAAGTAATATAAGAAATCTTCAGGGCATGAGAAGTTATGTAGATATTAGAGCATAAGGAAGCACTTGGTTCATATAACGGAATCATTGTGAGCTGAATAATTCCAAGTCTGCTTCTTTGCATTGGTAAACTCTACAAACCATGGAAGTTATTAAGGTGCACATACAAGAAAGTTGTTTGTGACACAATTTTGGGATTGTTCTTCCTATTTGTGACACAATTTTGGGATTGTTCCCAAGTATATTGGTGTTGCAATAAGAATGTGGCAGGAAGCATGAATTATTACATGTCGTTTCATTATCTAAAGAAGAAAGGATGATTTATTGTTTTGCTATGTGTAGTTTCATATCTTTATTTTTGGTTGCAGATTATTTCTTTGTTTGTGGGTAATTCTTTAGTTTGTGTACGAGATGTTGATGAGGTTTAGGATCATTTCATTATCCTTTTGCATCATTCTTANGACACAATTTTGGGATTGTTCTTCCTATTTGTGACACAATTTTGGGATTGTTCCCAAGTATATTGGTGTTGCAATAAGAATGTGGCAGGAAGCATGAATTATTACATGTCGTTTCATTATCTAAAGAAGAAAGGATGATTTATTGTTTTGCTATGTGTAGTTTCATATCTTTATTTTTGATTGCGGATTATTTCTTTATATGTGGGTAATTCTTTAGTTTGTGTACGAGATGTTGATGAGGTTTAGGATCATTTCATTATCCTTTTGCATCATTCTTAGACTGGATAAACCTCTGTTACAATGTCTTAAAACTAACTGGAGCATAACTAAGCTGTCTTATTTATATTAGAAAACTTGCTACCTGGCTTATGTAATATACTTTCATATTTGTACATTGTATGAGTTAAAGTGGCAATATCCAGGGGTTATGTGTAGGCATTCTTGTAAGTCTCCCTAACTTCCAATTACAGAACCTTTGAGATCAAGAAACCATATAAAAATTTTGGCTGATCTGTTTTCCCTATTCTTCTGCTTCTGCAGTGCCACAATGGGCATACACTCTGTTCAACATGTAAAACAAGGGTACACAACCGATGCCCCACTTGTAGACAGGAGCTTGGTGATATAAGGTGTCTAGCACTAGAGAAGGTAGCTGAATCACTTGAACTGCCTTGCAAGTATATGTCTCTTGGTTGCCCAGAGATTTTTCCTTATTATAATAAACTCAAACATGAGGCTGTGTGCAACTTGAGGCCGTACAATTGTCCATATGCTGGGTCAGAGTGCTCTGCTCTTGGGGATATACCATTCCTTGTTGCTCATCTGAGGGATGATCACAAGGTGGACATGCATTCTGGATGCACTTTCAACCATCGTTATGTCAAGTCTAACCCTCGTGAAGTAGAAAATGCGACGTGGATGTTAACTGTATGTACATGTTTCTCTTATTTAATTCAATTTACACTGGCAGGGACATTATATATAATTTGGAATGACGCTAAATGAAATCAAATGCTTCTTGCTGGTTGGCAATCTCATGCATAGACACACTGAGTTGCTAGTTAATAGTAGTGATGCCTGTTATAAGCACTTAAACCTCCATTATCTTGAAAAAAGCACTAGCACAAGAGTTCTCTCAATTTTTGTGCGCTTTTGGCTTTGCCTGTGAACATATCACATTAAAATGATTCAGCAAATTCAAAGCTAGAAATTAAATGTTGGAAGTTAATAAGATACTAATGATCATTGTGCTTTACCTCCATTCTGCTGGTTGATGGGTACACTAGTCCAATTTCAGATAGGATTTGATGAGATTGTTGAATTGACCAAAGTTGGTGATGATACGAGTTGTATGAAACTTTGTTGTATATGCAATAAGCTTTAAAATACGATACCTTCATTTCCTTGATCTCACAAATAATTGTGATTGCCATGTCAAATCTTATAATATTGAACCCTTTCTATGTTATGATCTTTGTTTAGGTTTTCCACTGTTTTGGACAGTACTTCTGTCTCCATTTTGAAGCTTTTCAGCTGGGGATGGCTCCAGTGTATATGGCATTCCTCCGTTTCATGGGTGATGAGACAGAAGCCCGTAATTACAGCTACAGTCTTGAGGTTGGGGGAAATGGGAGGAAACTCATGTGGGAAGGTACCCCACGAAGCATAAGAGATAGCCACAAGAAGGTTAGAGACAGCCATGATGGCCTAATTATACAACGCAATATGGCACTTTTCTTCTCTGGAGGGGACAGGAAAGAACTGAAGCTCCGAGTTACAGGGCGGATATGGAAAGAACAGCAGAACCCAGAAGGTGGGGCCTGCATACCAAACCTCTGTAGTTAAGTTATGGATGTTTGGATAAGCCAAGCAGGCGACCATATGCACATGCTGAATTTGTTGTACTATTATTTGTAGATGCAGAAATTACTGAGGATCTGTCTGAAATATGTATGGATGCTGGAGGCTTAAGCTATTATTAATTGTTAATAAGCTTCCTTCCTTTCTTATTGCAGAAAATGGAGTTCTGGCCATAATCAAGTTTTAATCCTACAGACTTCTCGGATTGTTCGATTTTATTGTCATGATTCTAGTCTATGATTTCCTCACTAAATCAAAACGCAAACCCAGTCCCAATCTTCTTCTAAATTATTAGCCATCTTCGATGTTGTCTTCCTCAATGAATCTTGTACCTAAACAGTAGACACCACTCAAACCAAATGTAAATTATTGCCAGCTTGCCAACCTGACGACATGGGTTTCAACTTATACTCACATTTTGAATCAAATAATTAAAATTGTATGCCAAATGGATAAGGAAGTATTGAAAACTTTTACTTTCAATCGTTAAAGCTCATAGAAGGTGACTATTATCTTAATACATTAGATAAGAATTGTCCATAACACTTTTGTTTATATTAAACATTTCATGTCATATAATCTTAGGTAAGAAAGCATACTATATACATATTTATCTATTAATATTCGAGTTTCACGACGAATGTTGTACGGGCCCTTCTAGAAAGGGTATGTCAAGTAGAGAGAAACGACGCTGTTTTACTGTAGATTTAGATGTACCATCAGCTTACTTATCCCCGAATCCATGGGGTTTTAGCTAACTTGCCTGACATCTGAGACCTCCTTGTGAACTCTCCTCTTCATGACTATGGAGTTATGCAGTCCCCGAATCTTAAGCACAACCATCTCTCCTTTTACTCCCAAATTCTCTTTAAAAACCTCAAACAACAAAAGCACTTATATATTCAACATACCCACCTTCAAATTCCCAAGAAAACGCTCATTTCCATACTATTTATTCTCCTCTAACACAACAACTCTGCAGGTTTCAGCTCATTTTGGTCGACCCACCACTCGCCGCAACTCGCTGAGAAAAAAGCTCCTTAATGATCAACAGGTGAATCAAAACAATCTCATTTCTTCAAGCACGAGTTCTAGTTTTGAAAATATTGAGAATTTGAATTACGATACTGTGAAAGGGTGTGTTAATGATGTTATAATTGAAAGTTCTAAAGAGTCAAAATCGAAACCTGTTGGTGAATATGCTTTGTTTGGTAAATTGGAGAATTGGATTGATCAGTACAAGAAGGATGTTGATTACTGGGGCATTGGGTCGGGGAAAATTTTTACGGTTTTTGAAGATGCTGATGGGAATGTGAAGAAAGTTGTAATTGATGAAGATGAAATCTTGAAAAGAAGTCAAGTTGAAGACTTAACTGAATTGAATTCTAAAATAGTATATGCTAAGAGTTTGGCCAAAGAAATGGAGAGTGGGGAAAATGTAATTCCGAGGTTTAGTACAGTGGCAAAGTTTGTTATTTCAGGTGAGGAGTCTGGTTTTGTTAATGTGATCGGTGGTATCATTCTCCATCCTGAGTTTATCCCTAAAAGTTCTAGAGTTGGAAGCATTGTGTTGTGTGGTTTAGTTGTATTTTGGTTGGTGAAGAAACTATTTTCATTTCAAAATAAAGAGGTGCATTACACAGAACTGGAGAAGGAAATGATGAGAAGAAAGCTAAAGTCTAGAAAGGAGAAGGAGATGTTAGAGAAGGGAAGCGTGGAAGTTGTTCAAGAAGCAATGGAACCGCCGATGGAGACCTTTATAAAACCTAAGATAGACAAGCAAGAACTCATGAAGAATATAATAAAAGCAAAGGCTTCAAAGCATAATTTAGCGTTAGTGGATTCGTCTAGTTCTCAAACTAGCAAATTGGAGGATTTTGGTGATAAATTCCAGGAAATTAGGAAAATGGCCAGGGAAATCTGCGAGATTGAGGGCAGGGAGCATTCCCAGGCTGATAGGAATGAAGAAGAAAAGCAGGCTGTGGACGGTGAATTATGTGATGAGATAAAAGAGATCAAACAGTATAGCGAAGATGATATGAGTTTTTTGGGGAACCTTCCGAATGGAAGTTTTAAACAAGGTATTGGAAGTGATGGAACTGCAATGACTGTGTCTTTAGTTGAAACAAAAAGCTGGGGTACTGAATTTCCCAGTAAGGTACCTTCTGCTGAGAATGAGGTTGTGCAAACTTCGGGTGCTTCAAATGTTGAAGTTTCAAAAGATTGGGTGAGAACAAAGCAAGATAGGGAGAGTACTTCATGTGTAGCAGTCAAAGAAGATGTTGTTCAATCATCAGATCCTCATGATGCTGAATCATCTATTTCAGATACCAATTCTGTTAGAAAAAAACCAAGGGTCATACGGTCGGTGAAAGAAGCTAGGGAATTTCTTTCTAGAAAATGTGACAAACAAGAATTTGAGCAGCCTATTGATAAAACTTTGCAAGAAAGTGCTGCTGTTTCAAATCAACCAAGTGGTAAATTTGATAGAAATGAAAGCCAGACATTCAATGTGGACAACAAAGTTTTCGGTTCTGCAAATTTTGGTGGAACATCTGAATCTACATGTGCTCCAAATGTTCATGAATGTTCAACTCTGAAGGATGAGGAGCATGTTCCCATCAACAAAGATGATCCTGAATATTCTGATAAAGGATATGGAGTGGGTGATTCTCAAATTTCCCAAACTTGCTTAGATCATGAAGATACCGGTGGGAGTACAAAGACTGGACCGTATGTAAAGATGGAAAACTGGATGGAAGAAAATTTTCATGATATTGAACCCATTGCTAAGAAGATAGGAATTGGATTCAGAGACAATTTCATGGTTGCAAGAGAGAAAGTAAATAAACAATTAAATACATTTGCTGATATTACACAGCTTGGCTCTGGCGAAGATGACGGTGAACTTGAGTGGATGAAAGATGATAAGCTGAGAGAAATTGTTTTTCAGGTCCGAGAAAATGAGTTGGTGGGGCAAGATCCATTTTATTTGATGGATGCTGAAGATAAACTTGCATTCTTTCAGGGACTTGAGAAGAAAGTTGAAGAAGAGAATGAGAAGTTATCCCATGTGCATGAATGGCTCCATTCAAACATTGAAAATCTTGATTATGGAGCAGGTACTATGATTATATCAAATGATCCATATATGCCGAATTTACTCGTATATAAATTTATATTATAGGCTGCTACATCACAGCACTTTCAAGGTTTGCTTCTCAAGCATAGGTTATGAATAACTATTAATTAACTGGTTCTTAGTCAGTTTAGGTATTTGTTATCATTTATGTATTGTTAACTGCTTAACCATGAGTTTATATACATCATACATCAAATTGCATAGTTGTTACTCTGCTGGTGCTAATGGTCTTTTTCTCTTCTTTTAGATGGTATCAGCTTGTATGATCCACCAGAGAAAATCATACCACGCTGGAAAGGGCCACCTTTGGAGAAAACTCCTGAGTTCCTGGATGAGTTCCTTAAACAAAGGGAGGCTCTTTTTGCTGGAAATACGGTTACTCCATCTCCTGTGAAGAAGGATGAGGAGAAATTTCTTCAAAACTCAACAAGGTTTCCCACCCATGAGAATGCTGCTACTTCTTTGGCTACTAATGATTTGAAGAAGTCTCAACATAAGGATCCGAAACATTCCAAGACAGTTATAGAAGGCAGTGATGGTTCTGTCAGATCTGGTAAAAAATCAGGAAAGGAGTATTGGCAACACACAAAGAAATGGTCACGTGGGTTCTTAGAATCTTATAATGCAGAGACAGACCCAGAAGTTAAATCCACTATGAAAGATATGGGAAAGGATTTAGATCGATGGATCACTGAAGAACAAATACAGGAAGCAGCTGATCTAATGACCAAACTACCTGAGAGGAATAAGAAATTTATGGACAAGAAACTCAACAAGCTCAAAAGAGAAATGGAGTTGTTTGGACCACAAGCTGTAGTTAGCAAATACCGTGAATATGCAGAAGAGAAAGAAGAAGATTATCTATGGTGGTTAGATATACCACATGTTCTGGTTAGTATGCAAATGTGCTATGTGTTTTTTCTTTGTTGTCTTCTTAGTATTTGTATCTTCCACATGTCAGATGACTTCACTGGATTCACTTGCATGCTTCATCTTTATCTTAAGTACAGATTTCGAAGATGATTTTGAAAATGTTATTAACTCTTTATGGTTTTATATTTAAATTGATAAGTAATTGATGGTCGGACACAATTTTCCTTTACTAGAGTTTTACTTCTTCTTTTTTGTTGGCATGTGATACATGCTATGTAAACTAAGTGTCCTACTTGTGCAAGAAAGCAATTTTGGTGTGCTTTGTACTGGTAAAGAACACAGATTATTAAGCAAATTGCCTATCTCCTGTTTATTTTACAGTGCATTGAACTATACACAATTCAAGACGGGGAACAAAGTATAGGATTCTATTCACTGGAGATGGCTGCAGATCTTGAATTGGAACCAAAACCCCATCATGTGATTGCTTTTGAAGATGCCGGTGATTGCAAAAACCTTTGTTATATCATTCAGGCCCATTTGGAGATGCTTGGAAATGGCCAAGCCTTTGTTGTTGCAAGGCCTCCTAAGGTTAAGATTTTATTATTTTTACCATGCCAAATTTATGTTAGTTATTTATCAAGTTAAACAAAGAGGCAGTTCCACTGAAGGACTAGCGATGAGAGGCTGCTTAGTGGTCTTTATTTTTTATCAGATGTGTTGAGAAGATCTTCTAGTCCTAAAGTCACTAGATGATCCTGACAATTTTTATGCAGTACTTCGCTGTGTAAATACTATCCTTTTGTGCTTCTGACAGCCAGAAAAAATATTGTCTTCTATTTTGATCTGATAAGTTAAAATTTTGTCCAAAGAGGTTTTTCTTTTTGGTGAGGTGAACTTGGTGCAAGGGTCCAATTCTCTTCACCAACAAACATTAGTGTTTTAGTCAAGCTTTCAGTCAAGAACTTATGTTCTTTAGGTTTTGCATTATTTAATTGACAATTCAATCAAATTGCTGACTGCTAGATCTTTGAATCGTCTGTTTCATTCATATTTCCTTTTTTGTACTTATCATTCCCTTTTAAGGTGGAATACTTTCATTTCCCTGACCATCTTTAATCTTCAACAGGATGCTTTTCGCGAAGCTAAAGTAAATGGTTTTAGCGTAACCGTCATCAGGAGAGGAGAGCTACAGCTCAACATTGACCAAGCACTAGAAGAAGTGGAGGAACAAATTACTGAGATTGGGAGTAAGATTTACCATGATAAGATAATGGGGGAACGCTCTGTGGATGTAAGCTCATTGATGAAGGGTGTATTTGGTTTTGGTGCCAAATCCTCTAAGAGGTAATTTCTCAACTTGTGCAGTAATTGCCTATAATTCCAGCCATGGAACATCTAGAAAACATGGATGAGTAATTGGATCAAAGTCGTGCATTGCTAAGTAAACACCTTTGTACCTCTTTGATGTTTTGATTTCAGCAAAAGGGCTAAGAATCGGGCAAAGCGGATGCTGAAAAGGCCTGGCAAGAAGTGAAGGAAAGTCGCCTGGCTCACCGTTGAGGGTGATGGAGACACTTGGCCATATAAGAAATCAGATGACCATAAAAACCGTTCATGATTTGGCCGCTCTGCTTTCTCTTATGGTTTTGGTTTTGCAAGTTCCACGAAAATGCTGTAGCAGAAGGCAGAAAGCTTGTCTTGACACAGACCGCTGACCTGTGATCTTCTATTTAATTCCGCATCCTGTGGTTATATTGACAGGTCGCTGTTGCAATGCTTATTCCAGTGGCAAAGCATAGGAATATTTGATGAAGTGAAGAACTGGAACAGAGATTTTAAATGCTTATTCCAGTGGATTTTTGATGCTCCTGAGAAGGATTGCTTCTGGAGCTAGCTCAGAATCCCCGGGCCAAGTGTGTGTTCATTGTGTAGAATGAGTAGTAACTGGGACACTTGCTCCCTCTTCATTCGGCAAACCCTAGTGAATCGTAATGACTTCAACCTCTGACCTAAAGGCAGATCGACAGGGGAAATTTGTCTTAGACGGAGGGTAAGATATGTGGCTGAGATAGGTTAAAGATGATCTCTCTCGTCTTAGGTTTGAATTCACTATCATGGTACAGAACTCTTAGTGACTAAATGACTAAAGAATAATACTAACTTACAAAGATCTCCATACAAAGTGATATGCCAAAAAATGAATGGAAGAGTGAATTTAATAAGTTTGATTTTTTTGTTTACTCTTTCATTCATTTTTTGTCACCTTACTTTGTATGAAAACTTTTGTAAGTTTTCTTTATAAGTATAATATTATTGATGACTAAATGTTATGTAGCTGTCAACAGTTTTGGTTTTGTATGTAGGAGACAACTGTCATAGCCATAGAGTTTGGTGGGTTGGTCACTGCTTCATAATTGGTATATCATGTTCATTAGTTTAATTAACATTTTCACCGATAAACATAACAAGTCACAAGTGTCGTGAAATTTTGTAGGATATGATGGAATTAAAGTTTCAATTATGGTTCTTAGAAGGGGCACATGAATATTACAGATAAATCAATATATATATATATATATATATATTTTTTTTTTTTTATCAACGGTTTCTTCATAATCATGAAACTGTCAATCAAGTAAGAATTCTAATAATCACTCTTTTTGGACTCAAATTCAAGAGTTTATAAAACTTTTTTTATTTTTTTCACCAACAGTTATTAATAAATCAATAAATAGATAAAATCAATATTAATAAATAATACCACCTATGCTGTTGACCAAAATCTTTGATTGACCTCATAAATATTTTTTTTTTTTTTCATGAAGATATATAAAAATAAAAAGATGACAAGTTACGTGGGCCACAGATTCTGCGGAGGATAGTTTCTCCAAGCAGTTGGAAATGAATGTAACAAATTCGACATGATTAATAAATCAACCCCTGCCCAAAAATTTAGATAATGCTTCTCACTTGTGTCTATTTTTCCAATTAAATGAAAGAGGAGAAAAAAAAAATTCGTACAATTTATAGCAGAAACAATTTCAATCAATGACACGAGTATCGAATTAATTTTATATATGCAAGAAGATGAAATAATTAGTTAACCACCTCATTTATATCATGCATATTCTGTTTTTCATTTTTGGTATTCCATTGTCATCAATAGAATACAATAACTGGGCAGGCCATCAAAAGAGCCAACGCAGTTTAAACATAAGAATGGCCCATGCCAAAAAATGACCAAAACTTGCTGCAGAAGCAGTTTCAGGTTGCAACTAAGCAACCTTGACAACAGATACAGGCAACCACGATACCAATGATAGCTCCAGCAAAGACCTGTAATGGAGTGTGGCCTAGAAGCTCTTTGAGCTTTCTTTGACTGATGGGATGACCTTGAAACAAGTCCTCAACAATCATATTAAGAACCTATGTCAAAAGCGCATAAAAAGAAAAGGAAATAAATTACAAGATTTTAACAGGCACTTCGTTAGTGAACAAACATGTAATAGAGAAATCTCATGTGGGTGAGCTTAAGCTACTGAGTGGCAAAGTTCCCCAGCTTTATGTATAACCAAATAAAAACAAATAGACTTGGATAATTTATCAAACATTAGCACACTTGTAAAATTGATTAGAGTGTACTCACCATAACAAATTTGTGTGAAGAGGGGATTTCAGTGGAAACCATACAAACACAAGTAATAAAATTTTCCCACAATTCATTTCTGTAGTACCCTATTTAACAATTTCAAAACCCATTCACATGGATATTTTCCAGACAGCATGACAAGAGAAGATAAGACAAGGTACTTCTAGTTACAAATAGTCAAAAACACAAAAAAGGTAGCCAAAGTCTAGTGTTTTGGCAATCTCACTCATTTCCCCTGCCTAAAAGAAACACCTAAACAAAATAGTCCAAACCAACAAAAATAAAACCTGTTTAAAACCCCACTGAAAATGGGCCTCAGACTCCTATATATATTATAGGAAATGTGGGTTCTTAGGTGGTAAGATATCTTTCCTTTTAGCTCAGAGAAGTATGCTAAAGTCCACCGAAATAGCCTTCAATTTTTCATGACACTCTCCAAAGAACAACTGTCCGCCTGATATGCAACAAAGGATAGAAATGAAGGGTCCCAAATGCATACACCATGTGAGGTAACCAGGGTCCAACATACTTCATTTCTTCGGATAGAATCCCAGTTTTATAATATTCAATAATTTAACATTTTCAACCTTAATTGTGAGAAGTTGCAATTATTATTGTTCAAATACATTTCAAGACCATGTAAATTAGCGTTAGCATAGGCCAATAGTCCAATAGTAGTAAGCCCAATCATATAGGCAGAATGAAAGGATTACAAGAACATGGATAATTCAATAAAAAGTGCACTATCCTTTACCTAAACACAAGAATTTACATAAGCAGTCATCACTCGAAAGTCAAAACTGATGAGGTAATCATCACATCCAAAGCCATGTGAACCACTAACAATGCCAAGCATTCCAGAGATACCAACCGTGGGCCACAGTTGCTCAAAACATCTAGTGGTGCTTCAGAAAAACATAACAACAAAAAGGACCAAGAAATGAATTGATGCCAACAGAAATACTAATAGCTTACTAAAGCAAGAGATATTCCCTTGATGGTTTACGATAATGTGTTTGTTACATCTACTTCGTTTAATAGTTACTCTGTTCTATTCAATACTTCTCCACCTAATATAAGTTTTGATCCAGTAGTACAACCTAGCTACTTTGAACTACTGGATAATTGGATCCAAGATACATTAAAGATCCTAGCTCTAGTAACAGCCTCTATTAATAACCATTCATCAATGCTAAAAGAACAAAAAAATAACAATACTAATCATCTTACAAGCTCAATTGTACCATCAAGACTACTAAAAAAAGGATCAGCAATCAAAGTAAGCAACGCAACCATAAAATACTTAAGCAGCATACCCAATGACCAAATATTTATACAGCATGATTATAGCCAACACATTAAGGAAAACAATAATAATGATAACAATAATTTCTTACCTCAGCTTGCATGCCAGCATGGCGTCGAACACCAATTGCATCATACATAACAATGGAACTAAACCCCAAACAAACCGGAAATAAGGAGTCCGCCACTCCATGACAAAGCGCCACTGACGTAGTCAAAGCCGTGCATAAAGCGGAGTGCGAAGAGGGCATTCCTCCAGAGGCAAATAGTATTCTAAAATCCAATTTTCTATCAACAAAGAAATTCAAAGCCACCTTTGTGGATTGTGCTACAATCCACGCAAACAAACCAGATACAAATGTGGGATTAGCAGCCAATGTGGCCACAAATGGACTGATTTTGACTTTTGCAGTCGAAGTCACGCTTAATAAAGCGACACCAAACGCCCCGTTTTGCAAGTAATTGTTACTCTTATGTTGATCTAAGATACTCTCTAACTCATTATTATGTGCTTGCAGACGTGAAACCCATTTCTTAGTTTGTGAAGAGGCAAAACCTTTGATAGACCGTAAGATTGGAAACAAAATGCATAGAGGGTTTAAAGGGAAATTCCTACGGTTATTATTATTAGATTTTGGTTCGAGGTTTTCTGGATTTGAAGGGTTTTTGAAAGAAAAAGAGATGACTGAAGAGGTTTTGAATTTGTTAAACTGACTGAATTTGAAGAACGAACAGTATGTTGGGTAGTAAGTTCTGGTTTTGGTGTTTATGGAATTGAAACAAAGAAAGCTCAATGTTGGTTTTATTATAACAGAGTCCATGACAGAGTTCAGTCAGCATTTCAAAGAGAAGCAACCATGAGAGTAACGAGAGGCTGTGACTCTGTAGAGAGTTGGAGAAGGAGATCGAGTATTTATTTACTTGATATGGACTCTAGGTTTATCACATTAGAACGAAAATACCACTTTGAGTCACGTATTTTCCAAGGAATATGCCTAAAAAAGTGCGTCAAGTAATTGTAGGCAAATGGACTTTGAGTTTGGGCCACAGACCTAGACCCGAATCAATGAACCATTGAGATTTGAGGGACCGGAGGCGGAGACCAGAAGTACATCCTGACAAATCCAAATTTAGGAACTGCCCCATATTTAATGGCCCTTCCCCACTGTTTGTAATAGGGCTTTTTACTAAAATCCTCGCCTCAGGTTTTCACTCTCGAAACTGACCTTTTTTAAAGTCCATCAATTTGATTATTTGAGCGGTTTAGAATCATTATCCTTTTTATTTTACAGAGTATTTTTCATATAAATGAATAGTATTTTTATTAATTTTAAAATATAAAAAAAATATTTTTTATTTAAATATAATAAACTCTTTAAATTTAATGAAAATATTCTTTATTTTTTAGAAATAGACTTAATAGAAAAAAGAATTAATAAATAAAATATATAAAAATTTGTAATTTATTAATTAAAATTAAAATAAAGAGTAAATTTTGACTTTTTAAATATGGAGAGTCAAACTCACTTCTAAATTTATATTTTAAAGATAAAGAATCTGTTGGACTGTTGTTTTATGGATAAATTATTTATAATAAAGAGTTTAGGTCATATAAAGAGTTCTTTGGAGATGCTCTTAAATGTCTGATTTTCGAAACTTTTTTTTTTTCAATCAGGGTGTTCGGGTCAACTTACGCACACCTCAACTAATCTTCAAAATCTATTGAATACCCTACAAACCTAATAAACTGAGTAAGACACAATTATGTATTGAAATAGGTGATCCTAAGGTTTGAACCTAAAAAGTCAAGAAATAGAGCACACCTCTTTGACTACCAAGCTAACCCCTTAGAGTTGATTTCTGAAACTTGTGGGTCTCTTTGTCAGTAAACCGATGGGATGTCTAAAAAACCTCAGTTTACAAATAGCATTTTATTGTTAACAATTGAATAAGTGTTTTTATTGTGTGCATGTCAATAAAGTTTTTTATCCTACACTTAATTTATTGATAAAACATTCAAATTTAAACTCTTTAATTCGTTGCTATAGTTAAAAATAGGTGCCAAAACATTTCGTACATGTGCCACAACTTTTACAATTCAAAACGAAGATGCCATTTCGGGCATATAATCTACTAGGAATATGCTTGTGATTAGAGTACACTTGAAGCCAAGCGGACTTTGGACTTGAACCAGCAGTTCTATGCAAACATTTAATGGGCCATGGGCTGTGATAGCACCATAGTATAGTGGACTTCAATTATTTATCCGTCTCTACTTGGAAGCCCAGGCCCGGATGGGCTTAGCCGGGACAAGCGATAATGCTATCCTCAATCGTTCAGCTAATGTTGCTTGAACTATTGGTTAGTTTATCCATAAATTTAATTTCTCTGACAATAAGATGCCATGAAAATTCACTTAATATAACACTTGTACTATGATAATTGCGTAATTAACTATCAACCATCCTTTTTGGAGTTTGGACAATAATGAAAAATAAACTTGGTCGTTGTTGTAAAGATAAATCCATACATTTTAAATTTTATTTAATCACAAATATTTAAAATAATAAATCATAAACAACTTTAATGGAAAATAAATTTTGTATCATTTACATGGGACCTAACTTTTTTAGATTAATTACATAAAAGTAAATTCTATTTAACATTTGGATTGAGTCTAGCACATATGATGTAATTGATTTTATACATGGATAATTACTTAGATGTAAATCTTTACCTTCTTTTTTTTTTTTTTTTTTTTTTAAATTTATCTACTAAAAGCATGTATCTAATTTTATATATATACACAGTTTACTCACTACCAAAAAGAACATACCATTGCATTTAAGATTAGTCTGATATAGACTTAATTTGAATTACTGTAACTTATCTTTTAATCACTTTTGAGTCAATTTTAAAAATAATTTATAAGTGTTTGTTTTGATTAATTTTAAAATTACTTTTGCTTTTAGGACAATGAATTTTGAGAAAATTTGAACAGTAAAATGATTAAATTTGAGAAAATTTAAATAAATTAATAAGCATAAGCAACTCGGCTTAATATTTTCCACCGACTTTACCATTCAATTTTCATATGGGTCTTAACGGCAGCTACTTTTCATTCCCTCCAAATAAAAGGGGTAATTTGGTCAATTAATTTACAATCAAATACCAGAACGTTAGAAAATGTCCACGCTTTCTTTCTCAATTCTCAAACCGAACTATTCTATTTTCCCGGTCCCTTCGCCTATCCATCATTGACATATGAATAACAATACCTTCGATTCCTAGCCCGAGTCAGATTCACTATCGGAGTCGCCTAATCACCGTCTCAGCGATCACACTTGGTTTACACTCATGGATAATTTGATAACATTGGTAAACAAGATACAGAGGGCGTGTACGGCTCTAGGCGATCATGGCGAAGAGAGCGCATTGCCTACTCTCTGGGACTCCTTACCTGCCATTGCCGTCGTTGGTGGACAGGCAGGATTTATAATTTTCTTTCAATATCAATTTTCGTTTTTACTTTTGTTACTTTTAAATTTTATATTGGCCAATTAATCATCACATTACCTTTGAATTTTGAAATCTGAAACAGTCGTGAAAGTTTTTTGTTCAATCTTGAATTTGTTTGCATTTTTTTGAATAATTCCGAAACTAGGATTTTATCGTATTTGGGTTGTATTTTGCGTGAGTTGTTCTTGTTTAAGTGCATTGATCCGCTTGCATTTCGTTTATTATTATCATTTTTTTATTGTGTATACATAGTTGTCATGTGATTTAATCTCTCTCTTTTTTAAAAGAAATAAATAAATCAAAAATTTGATTTGCTATTAGTCTTTCTTGCAAATGAAGTAATTACTTTTTGATATCAATACACGATTAATAAATGGTTCAATCATGTTAAATAGGCTATCACATTATATAGGATAAGAAACTTTGTAAGTGCAACATTACTCATTTATAATTTTATTTTATTTTTAACCTTTGATGGTTTAATAATTGATAATATGAAAAGTGTAGTGCATAGACAAATGAAAATGGTAATACTTAATTAGTAATTTAAGAGCGTCATTTTTTTATGGTGTACCAATGTCGCATCTCCGAACAATGGTTGTTCTCTGTTCTTAAAGGTCATGCATATTGAAAACTGGTCTTATTGGAAAAGACCATATAAAAATCTGTGTGTGAAATATTGGTCCTTATATACTAAAAGGAATTAAACTCTAGCTAACCAAATCTACTAATAAGTTGATGAGCTATGACGAACTATTTGCTAGCTTTTTTTTAGTGTCAATTGTCTCAGAGAGTTTTTTGAAGGGATTTGGTTGGATGGATGTTACTAATGAGTTTTATGTCTATTATTGATGCATTTAAATTGTTTAATGACATTCACTAATAAATCATCTTTTTATGAGTGTGAATTTGATTGAATCTTCACAATCTTTTATTGGTCTGTAGAGCTCTGGGAAGTCTTCGGTGTTGGAAAGTGTTGTTGGAAAAGACTTTCTGCCTCGTGGGTCAGGTATTTCAAATTATTATTTCTTTTCATGTGCCTCAGATAAGGAGATGACATACTTACTGTTTGCCAACAATGTCCTTTAACATCTGGATAAAATGTGAACATCTTCTGTGTAGGGATTGTTACTCGGAGACCTCTCGTCTTGCAGCTTCATAAGATTGATGAAGGGAGAGAATATGCTGAGTTTATGCACCTCCCAAGAAAGAGGTTCACTGATTTTGGTATCATTTTAGCCTGAAAAAAGAGCTTTCTCTGCAGTACTTTTATTTGCCTTTTATTATTATTATTTTTGTTTCAACGATAGTTTTTTTCCGCGCTCTGCTGAAGGCCCCTTTACTTCTTATTGTTATCTCTCTAGTTTGTTGTTTTGATGCTATGTTCAATACTTCTTTCAAGTGTTTTGTGTCTATGTTCTTCTTATTCCATCTTGGATACTGATCTAACTTGTGTTTTGCACGTAGCTGCTGTGAGGAAGGAGATTTCTGATGAGACTGATCGAGAGACTGGTCGCTCAAAAGCGATCTCTAGTGTTCCAATCCATTTAAGTATATTTTCCCCTAATGGTGAGTCATCCAATTTGTGTTAGCTGAGAATCATGATTGGATATTTTCTCCAAAAAAATTGTGGAACTTGCCAATGTATATATATATATATATATTAAATTATTTGTGGTTGAAGCTGTCTGCTATACATCTTATGGCTTTTTGACCTTGCAGTTGTGAACTTGACACTGGTTGATCTTCCTGGAATTACGAAAGTTGCTGTTGGTGGGTTATAAATTCATTGATTGTAATTTGTCCCTACTGTTATATTTTTTTCACTAGCCCCGCATTTAGTTTTGTTAGACTTATATATGGACGTGATGCTGATTGGGTCTTGCAGAGGGTCAACCTGAAAGCATCGTGCAAGACATTGAGAATATGGTTAGGGCCTTTATTGAGAAGGTAATTATTATCAGAAATATTGAGTATTTCATAGCTTTCTGACCATGTTTGTTATTTCATAAATATGTGCATTTTGGTAAAATGACTATGCATGAATTTTGCTAACTAATGCTTTATAAATTTATCTGCCAAAAATGCCCTTTTACTTGTTTCCCTTATTATTTACTTAAATATTTATTGATTTCTCTGCATGGAAGGATATTTATTCAAGTGAAAAGTATTAATAGTTCATTTCTATCCTGTAATGCAGCCCAATTGTATTATTCTAGCAATTTCGCCTGCCAACCAAGACCTTGCTACATCAGACGCAATCAAGATCTGTCGTGAAGTTGATCCTAAGGGTAGGGTTTTACACAAATTTTTGAAGGGATCATTCCATAATACATCTGTTCCACAAGTACTTGATGGATGATTCATATTTAAGTTCACCATGCAAGTTGACTTAAAAAATTTACTCAATTAAATGAAACGTAAAGCATAAATTTTTTTGACCAAGTGGAAAACCTAAACAAGATAGACTGCAGTTAAAAGAGAAAAAGAATTAAATTTTGTTTCTATGGTGAGGTAAGACTGCCTTCTTGACTGTCATCACCTTGCAGTGATGTAAGTGGAAACATATGTAACTAGGGAGTTGATTTGTTGATTGAACATAATATTATCCACTACTTTTGATAGGTTGTATGATTGGATTTTATTCTCAACTCTTACTCTCTTTTTTGTGTGTTTTATCACTAACTCTGTATGGACTGCTCACACGAACCAACGAACAAGGAAATATCCTTTCTGTGACAAAGTTGATTATAACTTTTTCTAGTCCTTTAATTATTTTCAGCTTCTTTGGTTATCAAACTGCAGGGGACAGGACATTTGGAGTTTTGACAAAGATTGATCTTATGGACCAGGGTACTGATGCCGTTGATGTAAGAATGCACTCTGTTGCTACAAGGTTAAATGATGTTTTGTAAATTCATTCTGAAGTCTGATTTTTGTGACATAATGACTTTTAAAGCTAACAAGCAACTTTTTGTGAAGTGTTTTTAGTATTAGTTAGTACTATAATTAACTGTATATGTTTCCACTAATGAAATAATGTTGTTTTGATGACTTTTAAGTGACGATAAAAAGCTTTTACTAATTAGTAAGAAATCTTTTTATCTAAAGGTTTTCCGAGAAGCAGAACTAGGTATTATTGATGGCTGGATGCATGAAAATGTGTCTGATTGCATATAGGAGATCATATAATCTGTATAAAAGCAGAGGATGAATATGTAAACTTCTTGCTGATGATTGTCCTTAGATGTCATTATGAATTTTCTTCATATGAAAACGATGACAGACATTTAATAGCATAGTCAAAGAATTTGTTGCATTTGAATTCATATTCATATTTTTTATGCATTTTTGAGACTTAATTACTACCATGTATAGTTCACTATTATGACTTGTTCCTGATATGTTGGGATTTCAGATCCTTGAAGGAAGATCATATAAGCTACAGTATCCTTGGATTGGCGTAGTTAATCGCTCTCAAGCTGATATCAACAAAAGTGTTGATATGATTGCTGCTCGACGTAGAGAGCGGGAGTACTTTGCAAACAGCCCAGAATACAGGCATCTTAGTAACAGGATGGGTTCTGAGTATCTTGGAAAGGTGCTTTCTAAGGTATGAAATTTTGATGCAAATTATGTGGGGATGACTAGTTTGTGGTTTCCTACGTTATAATGCTTGTGTTCTATGTGGTGAGTATATATTGATGGAAGTGTCTGAAATTGAATGACAATATTTTGATTAGTACTTTTGCCAACAGAAAGTGGGAAAAACCAGTAGAAGATACTTATAGTCTGGAACATTTCCTTTTTTCTATTTTTCGCTTGTCAAATTTCAAAAGACAAGAAATGAAAACCACAGTAGGTTGTGTTCTTTTCACCTTAGTTTTACAATATCCAGTCGGTGGTGTCTTTTAGAAACTAAACATTATCACTGGTGACCAATCAAATCCTCCGTAAACGTGGTTAAATTTTCAGCATTTGGAAACTGTCATAAAGTCTCGAATTCCCGGCCTTCAGTCTCTTATCAACAAAACTATTGCCGAACTAGAAGGAGAATTGACCCGTCTTGGGAAGCCTGTTGCTACTGATGCTGGAGTAAGAAAATTTCTTTTATTTTTATCTTTCCATTCTCTCTCTCTATACTTGGTTTAATTCTTATGCAACTTTTATCTGAATTCGGTGGCTGAGTTATACTTATCAGGCAGTGATAGGTTGGATCTTTTATCCCCATCTCCTTTTTGGGCACATCTGCTGGATGCTTGCAGTGTGAAACACTGGTGACTTCCTGTTTTATAAATGCAGGGAAAGTTATACACAACAATGGAAATCTGCCGTTCTTTTGATCAAATATTCAAGGAACATCTTGATGGCATGTATGTCTTTTGATTATGTGTACTATTTTTACAATTTAACTGGAGCATTATTTGTTATCAGTTTCTATCTTAACCTTGGATTTGATGATGATAAATGTCTGCAGACGCCCTGGTGGTGATAAAATATACGGTGTGTTTGACAATCAACTTCCCTCTGCTCTGAAGAGGTTGCAGTTTGATAAACATCTTTCCATGGATAACATAAGAAAGCTTATTACTGAAGCTGATGGATATCAACCTCATCTAATAGCTCCTGAACAAGGATATCGTCGCCTCATTGAATCTTGTTTAGTAACTATTAGAGGTCCTGCTGAGGCAGCTGTTGATGCGGTAAGCATCCATTTTCACATTAGATGTTTTCATTGATCCCATCATTGATTGTGTCTTATTTTCTGATTTGTCTCATCTTTACTACTTCAGAAGCAATTGGGTTACATATGAATAAATATGTTATTGATTAGTTCCTAAATATTTCCAAATTTGACCTTTTCTTTTTCCTTTTAAATAATTAGCACTAAGCATGTGACGTCTTTTTAGCTATCACTTTGCTGTTGCTTCAATTTGGGTTTCTTGCTGGGTTTGGTTATGATTTTCTTTGAAGAATTTCTACCGTTTTCTCTATCTTGATAACTCTCAATAAAATATGAGGAGAAAACCTTTAAAATTTGCTATAAATTATTGCACATGCATTATTAAAGAACACTGTGGTATATGGTTAAAGTTTATTATGCATTGTCAACTGTACTTTGTTTCAACATCATTGTCTTTTTTGTTGTTTATTGATGCCTATTTTTGCCAATGATTACAGATTCATTCTATACTGAAGGAGATGGCCCTTAAATCTATCAGTGAGACTATGGCAAGTTCCTGGCTATGCCAATCTTATGAGCATTATCTTTTGGAATTCTGAATTTTGCTCTGACAAACACGTGTTGATATGTCAATTATGGTAACTAAGAAACTTAGGATAGGAAATTTGCTGATAAATTATTAAAGTGGTAGTCTGTCACTATCTGTGAGCTTCTCTGCCCCTGTAGCTAGATTGTCAAAAATACTAATACTATAAAATTATGTGAGTTGAAGGGAAACCTGTAGGAATAGCTTTGTTTTACTCTAAATGATTGTTTCATAAAACAAAAATTTACTCATCCAACATTATTTATTTGTTGATATGATTTTTTTTTCTGTAAATATTCTAATATCTAAGAGGATGCATTTTTGTACTCCATATAGGAACTAAAGCAGTACCCCACTCTGAGAGTGGAAGTTGGAAATGCTGCTGTTGAGTCATTAGATAGGATGAGAGATGAAAGCAGGAAAGCAACTTTACAGCTAGTGGACATGGAGTGTAGTTACCTGACTGTTGATTTTTTCCGTAAACTTCCTCACGATGTTGAGAAGGGTGGAAATCCAACACATTCAGTTTTTGATAGATATAATGACGCATATCTCCGGAGAATAGGTAAGGTTTGAAGGACTCTGTCTTGTGAACAGACTGATAGCTTGCTTGCGCATTTTCCAATTCGTCTTGGGTTAATTTTGGTTCATTTCATTTTGCTTCTCTGGAAACATACAGCAAGCACTGTCCTGTCCTATGTCAACATGGTTTGTGCAAGTTTGAGAAACACTATTCCAAAGTCAGTTGTGTATTGTCAAGTTCGGGAGGCCAAAAGGAGCTTGCTGGATCATTTTTTCACTGAACTGGGAAAAAAGGAGGTGATACTCTAGGCTAACTCCCCTTTCCTTTCTTCCAAAGAAAAATTCTGATTTTGTGTATTTAATTTTGCAGATGAAACAGTTATCTTCTTTGTTGGATGAGGATCCAGCGGTCATGCAACGTCGAACCAATCTTGCAAAGAGACTGGAGTTGTACAGAAGTGCCCAGGCAGAGATTGACGCAGTTGCTTGGGCTAAGTAGAAGGAACATTAGAATGGAATCTTTTTGCTCCTTAGATATTGGAACTTAGTCATAGTTTTGTTATAATTCTTTTATTCATGACTACTAATTCTACAGATGAACTTTTGAGGAAAGGGCAATTGGTTTATTTTGTTTCGTTGATTCAAATTAGCTCTTACTAGAATTTTATTTATTTATTTTTTCTTCTTTTGGTGGTTGTGGTTTTGGTTCCCTCTGCTTGTGCTTCTTTTATGAGTTGTGACGCTTATAGCCTATAGGTTTTGTTCCAGTTTAGTCAAATTCGGCTGTTTGCTTAGACACCATCGCTTGCCAATCGGTTAGCATTTAGCAAGATTGAGGCACCTCTGGCTGTTGGTGGCATACAACATACGCGTATAGGGTGCTAGGAAAATAAGAGCAAATGACCTTATTACCCTAAACCTAGTGAAAAGTGAAAATAATGGTGTGCAATTTTCACAGGAAGCCATTTGATAACTGAAAGAAGAAAATAAAGGGTAAAAGACTTTTAGTACCCTAAGCGTGGTTTTGCAGGCTTGCAATTTTCTCAGGAAGTCATTTGGTAACTGAAAGAAGAAGTAAAAGACCTTACTACCCTAAATCTAATGAAAATGAACAAGAGAAAGTAAAATAGTCTGAAAGGAAAAAGTGAAAGTGTTAGAGACTGAAAGGAAAAGTGAAAGTCTAAAAGACCTTATTACCCTAAACACACCGAAAATGAAAGAAGGTAAAAGAGTAAAAAGTCTTATTACCCGAAAACTAACGAAAATAAGTACAAGTAAACGACCTTACTGCCCTAAACCTGATTAAAATAAGTGAAAGAGTAAAAGACCTTACTACCCCCAAGCCTAATGAAAATAAGTGAAAGACTCAAAGAGTAAAAGAGAAAAGAGTTAACGACTTTTTCCCACCCAAAAAATAGCTCATCGACAATTTCCCATCCTCACACTTTTAAAATGCCATTTTACCACCCAAAAATTATGTTCCTTTAACAATTTATCTTAAATACATTATGAGGACAAAAATACCCCCATTAAAGATTAACTCCCAATCGTCAGCGACCGTAGGCCCACAACACGCCTCAGCCAAATTCCAGCACCAGAAATCGGCGTAAAATTGACTCCACTTTCCCCATTTTCCCTCTCTCTCCACCTAATTCCACCTAATTTTACACCAATCGTCGCTAAGGTTCTCATGATTTCTCTTGCTGGATTCTGGCGATTTCCAACGACCAAAATCAAAATTGACACCACCCCTAGACTTATCATCAACCCCTTAACAAAACCCCTAACCTTTTGGCACCTGATCACTCACCATTCGTCAGCCACTGCTTATTTGGCTGTCTCGCGATGTCACTGTTTCACGGCTAGATTCTCGTCGTTATTGACACCAAAAATCACCATTGTCACCACCATTCCAACCCCCATCCTCACCCTCTTCAAAATCACTACCTCCACTCGTCCTCCCATCTCGCCGTTTGTTGCCAGTGATCTACCACTATTGTCGCGAGACAGTCACCTTTTTGCAACCCCAACCATCTGAAAACAGCCTGATTTTACAATGATTGTCGCTAGTGGGGGTGATGCCCTCAACGGTGAGTCGAGTGGAGGGGTGGGGGATGATTTTCGATGAAGAAGGCGGCAAAAAACAGGCTAAGAAATTGTTGAAGACTGTCGACGTTTTAGGAGTGATTAAAGAAGCCAAAAGACCATCATGCCCTCACTTATGACTAACTTTTGGCTATCCTACCCTTCCTCATAACGAAAACTACTAATGTCGGGTAGTAAAATGATATTTTAAAAATGTGGGCGGGAAAGTGTCACTGAGCTATTTTTTGGATGGGAAAAAGTCGTTAACTCAAGAGAAAATTAGTAAAAGACCTTACTACCCTAAACCTAATGAATATGAGTGAAACAGTAAGAGGACTTTACTACCCCAAGCCTAATGAAAATAAGTGAGAGTAAGACTTTACTACGTAAGCCAATGAAAATAATTAACAAAAATTATATATTGTTTTGGAGGTGCGGGGAATCGAACACCGTGCCTCTCGCATGCGAAGCGAGCGCTCTACCATATGAGCTACACCCCCTTTCGTAAATCACTGGGCAATTTTATTTACATTACTTATACATTAGATATTCGCAATTTCAAATCAAAAGTTGCTATATAAATTGTAACTTCCCGTGAAGATTTTTTATTTATTTATTTAAACATTTTTTCCTAAATAAGTTAACAAAAGTATTGGAATTCCAGAATATGAATTAACAAAAGTGTTGTCCTTTTGAATATCTATCATCATATTATTTTAATACAAAACTCAAAAGATAACAAATTTTCTTCCTCTTTATCATAATGGAACTTTCTAATTTTATTGTTGTAAAACAAATAAATTAAATTTATATTAATTGGTGATGATTGATTAGAGTAATGCTACACATTTCAAGAGATATCTTCAAATTTAATTTCATATTAATTTGTAGGCAATTCATGATATAGTAAATGACTTTTAAGATAAGCTACAATTTTTCATGATGGGCGAGCAAGATTTTATGAAGAATTGAATAAGGATACAACTTTTTTTTCTCTGGTATTCTTAGATGAAGTCAGCTGGATGTTTTCACCGATAAACTGTTTCATTGTGTCCATTATGGCATCAGGCTTATGTATGCATTTGAAAGTTCGATGCATATTATAAGAAATGACATAGTGCACGGTTACTCATTAATTTTCTACTTACAAGAAGACAAATGAAACAGTCAGCATGAACACCTGTGAACAACTTAAGCTTTAATTGCTCACATCATGAAGCGTTTCCTGGTATGGAAATTTCTGATTCTTAATTAATGCTCTTATTACTCATGTCTTTTTAAGAAGGCAATTTCAGTAGAGTTTCCCACTCGATAATCTTTGAGCTTTCTGTTTCTTTCCTTGTATTTCCCTCACTTGCCAAAGAGCTTTTAAGCATATAGCTTTCGCGTGATGGAGTCGGAAAAAGGTGCAATTCTGATGAGACGGATAAAGCAATTACCAGCTATTGAAACGAAGAGATCATGCAACGGAGAGAATAACAAGAGCACTGAAACAAGAGAAGAAGAACCATTGAGTCCGGCAGCTCGACTGTTTCATGAACCAAACTTCAACGTTTACATCATAGCCATAATCGGCTTTAAGACTCCTATCTACCCTGAAGTGGTCAAAGCTAACTTGGTGCACACTTTGCTAAAACACCCTCGCTTCTCTAGTTTGCAGGTACAATAATATTATTGATTATCTTCTTTTCTTTATTTTCCATTGATAGTTATTACTGCTTTTACGTACAGAATATTTGCTTCAATATAAAGTAAGAAACTACAGTCATATTGTTGGATCAAACTGGTTATTTATTGGCTCTTTAAAAATTTAAAAAAAATTTAGTGTGAGAACGATTCTGCATGCAAGCTAATTTCACCATAAATTAATATTAATGCATTAATACTGTGTCAAACAGCTAGGTTCTGTTACATCTCTTGTCTTCTTTAGCAACAGAGACTTTTGCTTTTGATAGAGAAAAGACCTTCAGGAGAAGATGAAAATGGTTACCGATCGAAAGCATGCATGCGTGCTACGTGTTTAATGTAAACTGGAGAATCAACGCTTTTAACAGGGACCGGTCAAACTTGAATTTTAATTTGGACCAATGGTCCATAAAGATGTTTAAACATTAAGAACGTCTTTTGTTCTTTACAATGGCAAAACTTAAGAAATCAAACTGATACTTCTATTTTTTTTCTTTTTGCCTCAGATCCTTTCTTTGATTGAACATAATTGAAATAAGTTAATTAGCAGTAATAATTAATTGAGAAATAACATACAGGTGAGTGACGGAGATATGAAATGGGTTCGCATAGCGGTTGATCTAGAAAAGCATGTTATAGTTCCGGAGCTAAACCCAAACATGGACTCACCAGACAAGTTTGTGGAAGATTATGTTTACAATCTAAGCAAAACTGGAATTGATAAATCCCAACCACTTTGGGATGTCCATCTCTTGAACGTTGTGACCTCAGACTCCGAGGCTGTTGGCATTTTCAGGGTCCATCACTCTCTTGGCGATGGCACTTCCCTCATGTCTCTTCTTCTTGCTTGTACTCGCCAAATCAATCATCCAGAGGCTTTGCCTACAATTCCAGTGATGAAGAAAAGGAGAATTCAACACAACACTAAGTATTATGGAGTTTTTTGGAGAGTTGTTGTCGGGTTTTGGTCGGTTTTCCAGTTGTTTTGGAATAGTATGGTGAATATTATTATGTTTATGGCAACGGCATTATTCTTGAAGGATACAGATAATCCTTTCAAGGGTCCACCTGGCTTGGAATTTACTCCGCGGCGATTTGTTCATCGTACTGTTAGTTTGGATGATTTCAAGCTGGTGAAGAATGAAATGAACACCGTGAGCTATATATTTATTAAATCACTCATGAACTTTCCAGTTTCTTATCAGTACTCGATCCCTACCCAAAATATAAATAAGTTTTCTGCTTTGCAGACAATTAACGATGTTGCCCTGGGAATCACACAAGCTGGTTTATCGCGATATATGAACAGAATATATGGTCGGCCTTCCATTTTTATCTTGTTTTATATATGCTTAATGATCCGTTCCAGTAGTGAATTTCTCGATAAGTATATTTAGGAGTTATGTTGTTATGGACCAGAAAGTGGAGACCTTTAATCCGCACGATCATTTGGATAAAGTATTTTTGTTTTCGTGATTGGTTTAGTCTTCATTTTAAATTATGGAGTGGTGATAGGAGTGTGCACATCAAAGTCATTTTAATTGCACTTGGCAGGTGGGAGTAAGAAAGATGAGGAACCAAGTGAAATGAAAAATAATCTTCCAAAGAATATTAGGCTCCGATCAGCTCTGCTCATTAACTTAAGACCTTCAGGTATTCAGGTAAACAATTCTCTCTCTTTCTTAATTTCAAACTTAAGATCAATGTTAAGATATTCATACTTTTTAATCATGTACGTTCAATGTTAGGCGTTAGCTGATATGATGGAGAAGGACAGTAAAGCAAAGTGGGGCAACTGGATTGGTTATGTCCTCCTTCCTTTCAATATTGCAATAAGAGATGACCCATTAGATTATGTCCGCGAAGCCAAGGCCATAGTTGACAGAAAGAAGCATTCTCTTGAAGCTATATTTACTTTTTCCATTTCTGAGATAGTTCTCAAGCTCTTTGGTATTAAGGTATCAATCGTACTGCATGCTAAACTCGAATGGAACCTTCTATTTGTCAACAGTTAATTTAAGGGATTATCAACTTTGTTTTCTAATTTTCCAAAAATGCTGAACACAGGCAGCAAGTTCTATATCCCACAAGATTCTCTCTCGCACAACAATGTCCTTCTCAAATATAGTTGGACCCCTGGAGGAAATTGGTTATTATGGCCATCCACTGGCTTACCTTGCTGCAAGTTCTTATGGTCTGCCTCACGTAAGCAATGTTAATTTATTTTAAGTCTTGCCGTTAGTTTTCTTTGATCATTATTGTTATTTATATAGCACTAGCATAATTATAATAATTTGTTTCATGAACATTATGATTTGAGCTGGTAACTATTGAGATGAGACCTATATATTGCGTTGCAGGCACTGATGATCAACTTTCAAAGTTATGTTGACAAAATGACCATAACTTTATCAGTGGATGAAGACACAATTCCTAATCCTCATCAGTTGTGTGATGATATCGTGGAATCACTCAAACTTATCAAGGAAGCTATTTTAGGCAGAAGATAATTAGCTTAAATTAATTGCATCCAGTTACTTCTCATCAGACTAGCTACTTTTAGTCACCTTCTGTTTTATCAATTCTAAACTTTTCTCGCTGTGATTTGAATAAAACTCGCTGTTAACTTTGAGTATAATTTAATTTTTTTTCTGCCATATATAGTAGTCAATATTTGATTAGTCACCCTGAAAATCACTAGTGCTAAGGCCTGAACAACGGTTAAAATTGTGTGTATTGCTTATCATCGCCAACACAAGTCACTGCAGGTCAGGATTGAACCTCAGTCACAATGGTCAACAGGCTATCACATCTGTAATACTTGATTTTTAGCAAACAAATATCCCAGTGTAATACGTGTTGGTTACCCTTTTTACCGGGCGGCCTTAGATTTCTAACTTTCGGTTGAAATATTATTAGGCAGATCATCTGTTTTTCATATTAAATCATCAACAGCTTCATCACAATACTTGGGACCAGGATTTGGCCCTCTTTTTCTCCGAGAATAGTCCAGGAAAAGAGGAAGACATTTAAATTCTACAATCACCAGGAGAAACAAGCACCGCGCTTCTCATTTTAATTCTTTTTTTTTTCTTTGATTTTCATCTAAGTTGTGGATTTTTTTTGGGTATATGTAAAGATGAAATGGTCTGCAAAATCGGCGACAAAAGCTTATTTTGATACTATCAAACTAGTATATTTCTTTCTCAGATTTTCCCTTTATTTAATTGTTTCATTTTTACCTTTCTTTTATGTTCTAATTTACAATGAAACTTGTATCAATTTCCTACTGTTTCATCAATTATTAGATGCGGACTTGGCTCTTAATCGCACATTCTCCCCTGTTATAAAAATGACCCTCTGTTATCAGTCTGTCTAATGAAATATTTAGCATTTTACGTAGAAATTCATTCAATTTCTATTGTATTAATTGGTGGTGCAGAATATTTGCTTCAATATAAAGTTAGAAACTACAGCATATTGTTGGATCAAACTGGTTATTATTGGCTCTTTAAAATTTAAAAAAATTAGTGTGAGAACGATTCTGCATCAAGCTAATTTCACCATAAATTAATATTAATGCATTAATACTGTGTCAAAAGCTAGGTTCTGTTACATTCGTTTCTTTACGAACAGAGACTTTGCTTTTGATAGAGAAAAGACCTTCAGGAGAAGATGAAATGGTTACCGATCGAAAGCATGCTGCGGGCTACGTGTTTAATGTAAACTGGAGAATCAACGCTTACAGGGACCGGTCAAACTTGAATTTTAATTTGGACCAATGGTCCATAAAGATGTTAAACATAAAAAGGTCTTTTGTTCTTTACAATGGCAAAACTAAGAAATCAAACTGACTTCTATTTTTTTTCTTTTGCTCGATCTTCTTTGATGACATAATTGAAATAAGTTAATTAGCGTAATAATTAATTGAGAAATAACATACAGGTGAGTGACGGAGATTGAAATGGGTTCGCATAACGGTTGATCTAGAAAAGCATGTTATAGTTCCGGAGCTAACCCAAACATGCTCACCAGACAAGTTTGTGGAAGATTATGTTTACAATCTAAGCAAAACTGGAATGATAAATCCCAACCACTTTGGGATGTCCACTCTTGAACGTTGTGACCTCAGACTCCGAGGCTGTTGGCATTTTCAGGGCCCATCACTCTCTTGGCGATGGCACTTCCCTCATGTCTCTTCTTCTTGCTTGTACTGCCAAATCAATCATCCAGAGGCTTTGCCTACAATTCATGATGAAGAAAAGGAGAATTCAACACAACACTAAGTATTATGGAGTTTTTTGGAGAGTTAGTTTGACCCTAAACCTGATTAAAATAAGTGAAAGAGTAAAAGACCTTACTACCGCCAAGCCTAATGAAAACAAGTGAAAGAGTAAAAGAAAAAATAGCTCATCAACACTTTTCCACCCTCACACTTTTAAAACACTATTTTACCACCCAAAAATTATATTCCTTTAACAATTTCTCTTAAATACATTGTGAGGACGAAAATATCCCCTCCAAAGATTAACTCCCAATCGCCAACAATCACAGATTTGTAAGACACCTTAACCAAATTCTAGCACCAGAAATTGGCGTAAAATCGACGCCACTTTCCCCATTTTCCTTCTCTTCCCACTTGATTCCACCTAATTTTACACCAATCGTCGCTAAGGTTCTCATGATTTTTCTTGCTGGATTCTAGCGATTTTCGGCGACCAAAATCAAAATTGACACCACCTCTAGACTCATCATCAACCCGTTAACAAAACCCCTAACCTTTTGGCGCCTGATCACTCACCGTTCGTCGCCCGTTGCATATTTGGTTGTCTCGCGATGTCACTGTTTCACGGCTAGATTCCAATCGTTATTGACACAAAAAATCACCATTGTCACAACCATTCCAACCCCCATCCTCACCCTCTTCAAAATCGCTACCTCCACTCGTCCTCCCATCTCGCACGTTTGCTACCAATGATCTACCACTACTGTCGCAAGACAATCACATTTTTGCAACCCCAACCATCTGAAAACAACCTGATTTTACAACGATTGCTGCTAGTGGGGGTGATGCCCTCAACGGTGAGTCGAGTGGAGGGGTGGGGGATGATTTCCGGTGGAGAAGGCAGCCGGAAAAAGGCTAAGAAATTGTTGAAGACTGTCGGCATTTTAGGAGTGATTAAAGAAGCCAAAAGACCATCCTACCCTCACTTATGACTAACTTTTGACCATCCTGTCCTTCCTCATAACTAAAACTACTAATGTGAGGTAGTGAAATGATATTTTAAAAGCATGGAGGTGGGAAAGTGTCACTAAGCTATTTTTTGGGTGGGAAAAAGTCGTTAACTCGAGAAAATTAGTAAAAGACCAAAAGACCTTACTACCCTAAACCTAATGAAAATGAGCGAAACAGTAAAAGGACTTTACTACTCCAAGCGTAATGAAAATAAGTGAGAGTAAGACTTTACTCGTAGGCCAATGAAAATAATTAACAAAAATTATGTATTGGTTTTGGAGGTGCGGGGAATCGAACCCCGTGCCTCTCGCATGCGAAGCGAGCGCTCTACCATATGAGCTACACCCCCTTTCGTAAATCACTGGGCAATTTTATTTACATTACTTATACATTAGATATTCGCAATTTCAAATCAAAAGTTGCTATATAAATTGTAACTTCCCATGAAGATTTTTTATTTATTTATTTAAACATTTTTTCCTAAATAAGTGAACAAAAGTATTGGAATTCCAGAATATGAATTAACAAAAGTGTTGTCCTTTTGAATATCTATCATCATATTATTTTAATACAAAACTCAAAAGATAACAAATTTTCTTCCTCTTTATCATAATGGAACTTTCTAATTTTATTGTTGTAAAACAAATAAATTAAATTTATATTAATTGGTGATGATTGATTAGAGTAATGCTACACATTTCAAGAGATATCTTCAAATTTAATTTCATATTAATTTGTAGGCAATTCATGATATAGTAAATGACTTTTAAGATAAGCTACAATTTTTCATGATGGGCGAGCAAGATTTTATGAAGAATTGAATAAGGATACAACTTTTTTTTCTCTGGTATTCTTAGATGAAGTCAGCTGGATGTTTTCACCGATAAACTGTTTCATTGTGTCCATTATGGCATCAGGCTTATGTATGCATTTGAAAGTTCGATGCATATTATAAGAAATGACATAGTGCACGGTTACTCATTAATTTTCTACTTACAAGAAGACAAATGAAACAGTCAGCATGAACACCTGTGAACAACTTAAGCTTTAATTGCTCACATCATGAAGCGTTTCCTGGTATGGAAATTTCTGATTCTTAATTAATGCTCTTATTACTCATGTCTTTTTAAGAAGGCAATTTCAGTAGAGTTTCCCACTCGATAATCTTTGAGCTTTCTGTTTCTTTCCTTGTATTTCCCTCACTTGCCAAAGAGCTTTTAAGCATATAGCTTTCGCGTGATGGAGTCGGAAAAAGGTGCAATTCTGATGAGACGGATAAAGCAATTACCAGCTATTGAAACGAAGAGATCATGCAACGGAGAGAATAACAAGAGCACTGAAACAAGAGAAGAAGAACCATTGAGTCCGGCAGCTCGACTGTTTCATGAACCAAACTTCAACGTTTACATCATAGCCATAATCGGCTTTAAGACTCCTATCTACCCTGAAGTGGTCAAAGCTAACTTGGTGCACACTTTGCTAAAACACCCTCGCTTCTCTAGTTTGCAGGTACAATAATATTATTGATTATCTTCTTTTCTTTATTTTCCATTGATAGTTATTACTGCTTTTACGTACAGAATATTTGCTTCAATATAAAGTAAGAAACTACAGTCATATTGTTGGATCAAACTGGTTATTTATTGGCTCTTTAAAAATTTAAAAAAAATTTAGTGTGAGAACGATTCTGCATGCAAGCTAATTTCACCATAAATTAATATTAATGCATTAATACTGTGTCAAACAGCTAGGTTCTGTTACATCTCTTGTCTTCTTTAGCAACAGAGACTTTTGCTTTTGATAGAGAAAAGACCTTCAGGAGAAGATGAAAATGGTTACCGATCGAAAGCATGCATGCGTGCTACGTGTTTAATGTAAACTGGAGAATCAACGCTTTTAACAGGGACCGGTCAAACTTGAATTTTAATTTGGACCAATGGTCCATAAAGATGTTTAAACATTAAGAACGTCTTTTGTTCTTTACAATGGCAAAACTTAAGAAATCAAACTGATACTTCTATTTTTTTTCTTTTTGCCTCAGATCCTTTCTTTGATTGAACATAATTGAAATAAGTTAATTAGCAGTAATAATTAATTGAGAAATAACATACAGGTGAGTGACGGAGATATGAAATGGGTTCGCATAGCGGTTGATCTAGAAAAGCATGTTATAGTTCCGGAGCTAAACCCAAACATGGACTCACCAGACAAGTTTGTGGAAGATTATGTTTACAATCTAAGCAAAACTGGAATTGATAAATCCCAACCACTTTGGGATGTCCATCTCTTGAACGTTGTGACCTCAGACTCCGAGGCTGTTGGCATTTTCAGGGTCCATCACTCTCTTGGCGATGGCACTTCCCTCATGTCTCTTCTTCTTGCTTGTACTCGCCAAATCAATCATCCAGAGGCTTTGCCTACAATTCCAGTGATGAAGAAAAGGAGAATTCAACACAACACTAAGTATTATGGAGTTTTTTGGAGAGTTGTTGTCGGGTTTTGGTCGGTTTTCCAGTTGTTTTGGAATAGTATGGTGAATATTATTATGTTTATGGCAACGGCATTATTCTTGAAGGATACAGATAATCCTTTCAAGGGTCCACCTGGCTTGGAATTTACTCCGCGGAGATTTGTTCATCGTACTGTTAGTTTGGATGATTTCAAGCTGGTGAAGAATGAAATGAACACCGTGAGCTATATATTTATCAAATCACTCATGAACTTTCCAGTTTCTCATCAGTACTCAATCCCTACCCAAAATATAAATAAATTTTCTGCTTTGCAGACAATTAACGATGTTGCCCTGGGAATCACACAAGCTGGTTTATCGCGATATATGAACAGAATATATGGTCAGCCTTCCATTTTTATCTTGTTTTATATATGCTTATTGATCCGTTCCAGTAGTGAATTTCTCGATAAGTATATTTAGGAGTTATGTTGTTATAGACAAGAAAGTGGAGACCTTTAATCCGCACGATCATTTGGATAAAGTATTTTTGTTTTCGTGATTGGTTTAGTCTTCATTTTAAATTATGGAGTGGTGATAGGAGTGTGCACATCAAAGTCATTTTAATTGCACTTGGCAGGTGGGAGTAAGAAAGATGAGGAACCAAGTGAAATGAAAAATAATCTTCCAAAGAATATTAGGCTCCGATCAGCTCTGCTCATTAACTTAAGACCTTCAGGTATTCAGGTAAACAATTCTCTCTCTTTCTTAATTTCAAACTTAAGATCAATGTTAAGATATTCATACTTTTTAATCATGTACGTTCAATGTTAGGCGTTAGCTGATATGATGGAGAAGGACAGTAAAGCAAAGTGGGGCAACTGGATTGGTTATGTCCTCCTTCCTTTCAATATTGCAATAAGAGATGACCCATTAGATTATGTCCGCGAAGCCAAGGCCATAGTTGACAGAAAGAAGCATTCTCTTGAAGCTATATTTACTTTTTCCATTTCTGAGATAGTTCTCAAGCTCTTTGGTATTAAGGTATCAATCGTACTGCATGCTAAACTCGAATGGAACCTTCTATTTGTCAACAGTTAATTTAAGGGATTATCAACTTTGTTTTCTAATTTTCCAAAAATGCTGAACACAGGCAGCAAGTTCTATATCCCACAAGATTCTCTCTCGCACAACAATGTCCTTCTCAAATATAGTTGGACCCCTGGAGGAAATTGGTTATTATGGCCATCCACTGGCTTACCTTGCTGCAAGTTCTTATGGTCTGCCTCACGTAAGCAATGTTAATTTATTTTAAGTCTTGCCGTTAGTTTTCTTTGATCATTATTGTTATTTATATAGCACTAGCATAATTATAATAATTTGTTTCATGAACATTATGATTTGAGCTGGTAACTATTGAGATGAGACCTATATATTGCGTTGCAGGCACTGATGATCAACTTTCAAAGTTATGTTGACAAAATGACCATAACTTTATCAGTGGATGAAGACACAATTCCTAATCCTCATCAGTTGTGTGATGATATCGTGGAATCACTCAAACTTATCAAGGAAGCTATTTTAGGCAGAAGATAATTAGCTTAAATTAATTGCATCCAGTTACTTCTCATCAGACTAGCTACTTTTAGTCACCTTCTGTTTTATCAATTCTAAACTTTTCTCGCTGTGATTTGAATAAAACTCGCTGTTAACTTTGAGTATAATTTAATTTTTTTTCTGCCATATATAGTAGTCAATATTTGATTAGTCACCCTGAAAATCACTAGTGCTAAGGCCTGAACAACGGTTAAAATTGTGTGTATTGCTTATCATCGCCAACACAAGTCACTGCAGGTCAGGATTGAACCTCAGTCACAATGGTCAACAGGCTATCACATCTGTAATACTTGATTTTTAGCAAACAAATATCCCAGTGTAATACGTGTTGGTTACCCTTTTTACCGGGCGGCCTTAGATTTCTAACTTTCGGTTGAAATATTATTAGGCAGATCATCTGTTTTTCATATTAAATCATCAACAGCTTCATCACAATACTTGGGACCAGGATTTGGCCCTCTTTTTCTCCGAGAATAGTCCAGGAAAAGAGGAAGACATTTAAATTCTACAATCACCAGGAGAAACAAGCACCGCGCTTCTCATTTTAATTCTTTTTTTTTTCTTTGATTTTCATCTAAGTTGTGGATTTTTTTTGGGTATATGTAAAGATGAAATGGTCTGCAAAATCGGCGACAAAAGCTTATTTTGATACTATCAAACTAGTATATTTCTTTCTCAGATTTTCCCTTTATTTAATTGTTTCATTTTTACCTTTCTTTTATGTTCTAATTTACCATGAAACTTGTGTCAATTTCCTACTGTTTCATCAATTATTAGATACGGACTTGGCTCTTAATCGCACATTCTCCTCTGTTATAAAAATGACCCTCTGTTATCAGTCTGTCTAATGAAATATTTAGCATTTTACACAGAAATTCATTCAATTTCTATTGTATTAATTGGTGCCATTCCTTAGTTTTAACAATTAAGATTTAAATATTCATGTGTTTGAGACTGCAGAGCTTATAATTTTAGCTGTTATTCTCAAGCATTCTGTAAGTTTTGTTGAATTGTAATCCTCAGGAATTGCTAAGTGCTAACTCTAGTTTGATTTGGTTATACAGTGCAATGATTACACGAGGCGATGCAACACATGGCGATCACAGGAGCCTGGGAGCTACGAATTCATATCAGCCCTAGCAGCTGGAACGAGTGCAAAACTTATTGTGGAGATCTCGCCTGGCGAGTCCTCAATAACTATAGCCTTAGCAGCTGCTGCGCGACAAACAGGAGGCAAACTGGTTTGTATTCTCCCAGAGCAAGTCCTTGCTGAATCAAAAAGAGTGATTAAAGATTCTGGTCTAAAAGACATTGTAGAGTTCAAAACTGGAGACCCCTTTGAGGTGCTATCACATTATGGGAACATTGATTTCTCGCTGGTGGATTGCAAGAATGATGACTACGCAAGGCTGCTAAATTTGCTACATGTTAATCCAGAAAAATCAGTAGTGGTAGCAAATAACTTGGTGTGTGAAAAAACAGGTTTGGGAGGCCATGTTAATGGAATGAAGGATAAAGTTGAAGTGAGGTCTATAAAGCATCTTATAGGGAAAGGCATGGAAATTACTATGATAGGGAGAACCAAAGAAATTGAGAAGAGAAGAGAGTGTCATTGTAAAGCAAGAGAGATTCAAGTCAAGAAGAAAACTTGTAAGAGCAAATGGGTTGTAAAGACTGACAAGGTGAGTGGTGAGGAACATATATACAGAGTTCCTATTTAGGCCTGGTTTGGCAGCAGAGTAAACATTGCACTTACAAATTGTTGCTAATCAAGAGAAGATCAGGCTTCTTTCAGTGGTGTAATTTCACAAAAAGCTAGCAGTGAAGATAAAACATACTGGGACATTCCATGAATTCATGAAGTGGGTTGATCTTAAAACATGGACTCCTAGTTATTTTACCACCAGTGTTGTCATTAATGTGTATTGCCTACATGGAAGCCTCTGGAGTTAAATCACTAAAAAAGCAGATTTTCTTTTTTCCTTTTCTAGTCGACTATATTTAGCTCAGTAAAGTTAGTGTGCCTTGGTGATCTTGCATGCTTCAATCTGCCAGAGGAGAATCTTTGTTTTTGAGCATGATTTTCTCTATAATGATGTTATTGGGCTACCACATGTACTTTTGTAAGATTTGATTTATGATGAAGAATAAATATATGAGTGATGGGCTTTAACTTCAATTGCAGAAACTGTTTGACAGATGATTGTAGAATCACAAAGAAAGGCTTACTTTATCTTCTTGATTGATAATTTTGAATGAATCAAAGAGAAAAGAGAAAGACCCAATCATAAAGTAAATCCAAAAATTATATTGTGTAAGAAATGGCTTAGGTTTATGTTGCTCTCGGGTGGAAGAGTTGGTTTTCCTTTTTCTTTTTTAACGTAATTAAACTATGTAGTATTTAAGTTGCTTTACAGAAAAAAAAAAAAAAATCAGGTTCTGTATAATAGACATGACATAGTTAAACTATTTAAGAATAAGCATAAATTGATAATTGATCTTCTTTTGTTTTTCTTTTCAATATTGAATCAGTAATTCCTGCAGATTTAATTACTTCGACTGAAAATCATATGAACATAAAAGCTTATAATTTTAATATGTTTTTTCTGGTTGAGCTGTCAAAGCAAAAGCTTTATGTTAACTTGCAAAGCAAAACAAGTCTATGTCGAACTTAAAGTTACATTATCTTTTACTAATCATTAGGCACATCAATTATATGGTCGAAATCACTGAGTAAGTTGGGTTTTACCATCCAACACGATCGACCAAATAATATAGGCTTAACAGGATCTGTTCGTGTGGCTGTACACAATTCAATGTTTATGGACAAAGAAATTCAATTTTCATTTTATAATCTTAACACAATTAACCATAACTCAGACAAAGCAAGAGATAATCTGGAGTTTGACTTTTGACCAAGCGTCCTTGTGTTTAACGTTGGAGGATTCTTACCTCGCGTGTTCTCCCCAGGATGTGAGTTTATTACCTAATTGCTTTGTTTATAAGGTTATCAATTTAGAGTTTTGACCTTTCCCCAACCAACATCGCTAGCCGATGTTTAAATGTTTAAGAGAAGTTTGAATAACAGATAAAAAAAGGTCTTTGGTAGAGAGTTTGCAAGATTTGGCGGGAGTGATAATTACCCGCCAGCACAAACACGATGCCCTCACCAACCACCATGATGGAACCTTCAGTTTCAAGAAACTGAAACATCTTAACCAACTCATTTCTCTTCACTTTCACAATTTCTTTACTTGGGCATGTTCATCTTGCTATGGCCACATGTTAGGAACATAGACCCAAATGGCAAATTCAAGATTCCAGGCTCATGTTTCCAAGATTCTTGTTGGGTTATATGTTTTCAGCCTAATCTTGGAACCAAAGATTTTTGCATTGGCTGGTGATGAAGGTGCTGCAGCAGCGACCAACAGTAGTGAAGGTAATGCAGGTGTATCACCTCAAAGTAAGGATGATTATATCGGTGGCAATGGTGGCAACAATGGAATTGAAGTATCACAGCTTTGTAACACAGATTTACAGACTTTTCTTCCTCCACCATATGGTAATATATCCCGCATGGTCTGCAAGCCTATTTGGAATACTTTTATTTTGAGGGTGAGTTTTATGTTTTTTTATCATTAATCATTTTCCGCATACATATACTTGATTTTAACATTAATGAACATTTTTTTATCTTATTGACTACTTTTATTGTGGCAGTATTTGAAAAGAGAAGATCATGTTATGACCATTATATTATCAGCAATATATACCACAGGATGGGTGGGGATGGGATTTTCAAAAGATGGAATGATGGCTGGCTCCAGCGCGATGGTGGGATGGTTTAATAGGAAAGGTCAGGCAAGAATCAAGCAATTTTTCTTGCAGGGTACCCGTCCATCCCAGGTCATTGCTGGCAAAGGTGAATTGCCACTTGCAAATGTTCCTCCAGTCGTTGTAATTCATGGAGCCATGATTTATTTAGCATTTCAACTGAAGTTTGAAAATAGTATTGGTCGTCAACCAATTATTTTGGCTTTTGGTACAAGATATCCTCACCACCTTCACCTAACCCATCATGATGACAAAAGAACCATTATGTTTGATTTCTCCGGAGGTTTGTCGTTCTACAAGATATTCTTCTTCTTTCCTATACTTGGACACTAAACACTCTTGAATAAGGTCAGATCCAATAGACTAATAAAGAATCTACTCTTTTTAATCTTTTTACAGGCTCTTCATCTGTTTTGCAAGTGAGTTCTAGAGAGAAGAAGAATCATGGAGCATTAGGTGTCATTGGCTGGGGTTTAATCCTTCCTGTAGGGGCAATTGTTCCAAGATACTTCAAGCATAAAGATCCACTGTGGTATTATCTTCATGCGATTATTCAGCTTTTGGGATTTGTTTTTGGGCTTGCTACAGTGCTCCTTGGAATACAACTCTACGATAAATTGAATGTCAAGAATGCTAACATTGATGCACACAGAGGCATAGGAATCTTTATTCTTGTGCTTAGTATTCTTCAGGTTTGATCCATAACTGATTCTTTTTGTATTTTACTCATTTACTTCCTTCTATATATTAACAACTTGCATACAGCATATGAACAAAGAGGAAAATAGTCAAAGAAGTTCAATCCAGATGACTTTTTGAGTTCTCCAACATATTAATTGAAACTTAATTGTAATCCATACTTGATTTCAGATATTGGCATTCTTTCTACGACCAAAAAAGGAATCCAAGATTCGCAGGTACTGGAATTGGTACCACAACTGGTTTGGCAGGATTGCACTCTTCTTTGGAGCTATAAACATAGTGTTGGGAATCCAAATAGGATATGCAGGGAATGAATGGAAGATAGGGTATGGGTTCCTTCTTGCTATAATTCTACTAGCAGTTATTGTTTTAGAAGCATTATACTGGATGAAAAGATCGGATCAGAAGGCCACACCTTCAACATTCCAGATGAATCCAATGCAATGATCAATGTTCAAGTAGTATTCTTTCAAAAGTCTGTTTTATTAACTTTGTGATCGATTCAAATTTGATCGGTGAGTATGGCTGATGATATATTGTGAGTTTTGGAGAAATGGTAAGAAAAAATTTAAGCAGCAAACAAATCCCTTCTGAAAAGGCCAAGCCGAGCCAAAGTGCATTTGGTTCAATTTTCAAGAGACATAGCCTTATCTTGTGTTATGGTAGAGAAAGGATTAAATGGTTGGATAATTGTTTACAAAGATGTACAGTTCCAGTGATAACTTTGTTTGTGCGTAGTAAGTGGAAAACTTATCTTATTCTTGCTGGTTGCTGGGAACTTTTATAGAACTTTCAAGTTTAATTACTTTCCACTTGCATACACTCCATCAAATCCACATATAATAATTCATTGTTAGCTGATGCAACCACAGAAAGCAGAAACAAAACAACTTAGCTTAAAATTTATTGAATTGGTCGGCCAAGAAGACCTCCTTTACAGGAATAGGGTCCTATAGTACAAAGATTTCCTGCATGAATATCAAAGTCAGCAGTCGAGACATTTCATAAAAATTCATAGAATATAATGGAATAGAAAAGATAAAGTTGCTATTAGTACTTTAGATTTGTAATATTGGGGCTAAGCATATAAATCAAGGACAATATTAGATGCATTTGTTAATTTGTATCTACACCTAGCTAGCAACAAAGCAATTAACACAACATTTTAATTGTTGTGTAAGTGAAAAATAAAAAATAAAAAACTCCTTCGCAGCATCTTTATATTATTAGCTGTTTCACCCTTTGTTAAATTGTGTTGATATTGGGCATTGTGGGTGGTGAGCTTTGTTCATGTATGGATGGTTGTGGTGGTTGGAGTTTTTTTGCCTTGCATTAATGGGTGGCTGTGTGGCGGTATTTTTGGTTGAAGGCAGCAAAGAGGAAGCCGTTTGAGAGAGTATTTGGATAGATAAGTTAGCGAGAGAAGTAGAGTGCGTTCAGGATTTTTTTTTTTTTTTTCAGTTTTATATATTAAATTTATAATAATGGACATTTAATCTTTTATGTTTTCTTTAATTTTTAACTTTTATTATAATAATGATAATAATAATAATTATTATTATTATTAAATAAAAAAGTTAAAGAAGAAGGCCAAATTAGTCTTTAAACCCTCTACTTATGTCTATGCAAGGACCTCTAACTTCTGGATAGCAGCAAGGGGTTTAGGGATATTCCTGATAACCCGAGGGTTTACTGTATCTCACATAAACCTTGGGGAGTTTAATAATGAGTTAACGACTTTTTTCTATCCAAATAATGGTTTAATAACACTTTCTCATTCACACATTTTTAAAATATCATTTTATTATCTAAATTTATATTCAAAAAATGAATAGAGAGCAAATTCGATCTAGACTGTTGAGATTTTTAAAGAGGAAATATCGATGAGTCTTTTGATGGTGAAAGGTTAGATTTTGGAGGTTAAGATTGATCAAAATTTGACTTGGGAATGGTGGCTACATAAACCCTAATCGCTCAATTGCCGACAATGGGTAGAGTCGATAAGAGTAGAGTTTGAGGAGTTTCAATGAGTGATGATTGGAGAACAGATTGGTAGTGGAGTGGGGGTTACAACAATGTTGGAATAAAAAATAAAATATAAATTTGAATAATAAAATAATATTTTAAAAGTCTGTAGATTAAAAAAGTACCGTTAAACCATTATTTAAGTGGGAAAAAATCGTTTACTTGTTTAGTAATCCCCCAAAACTATTAAGGGTAAACTTATTTTCTCTCGAGTAATACTACACTTATAAAGAAATTTTACAAAAATCTATAAAATAATATGATAAAAAATAAATAAAATAATAAATTTAATGAGTTTGATTTTTTGTTTCACCTTTTCACTTATTTTTTACTAACTCATTTTTGCATGAAATCTTTATAAATATAGTATTAATGATTTTCTCTCACCGAGAATATAAGTGGCACTAATGTAATTTACTGGTACGATAAGGGTCGAGTGATAACGGTTAATCAACGTCGCGGACGTAGCGCGCACCAACCGACATTAGGGATTTTGAAAATAAGCTCAAATGATAAAATCGGTTTCGTTTGTTAAGACTGATTTGTAATTGAATATGGAAGAGGAGGGAGGTAAGGTTAGGGCGTTGATAGATAAGGCTACAAACTCAACAGCACGGGAGGTAGACCCACGTCTCCTCAAAGCCATCAAATCTGTGGTTCGGTATTCAGATTCCGAGCTCCGACTCGCCGCCCAAACGCTCATGGACCTCATGAAACGCGACCACTCTCAGGTCCTTATATATTTTTATTTTATTAATATTGCTTCTTCAATTATAGACGGTTAATTATTTGTTTATGTTATATTTTGAATTCAATTTCGTCTTTTTACATTGATAATTATCATGTTGTTCTCTTGTAAAATTTGAATATATAATTTTGATTTTATTTGATAAGGCGGCGAGAAAATAGGAGGTAAGAATTTTTAAGTTTGTGATTGGTTTTGCAGGTTCGATATCTCACACTTCTGATAATTGATGAGCTTTTCATGCGATCGAAGCTCTTTAGGGCGCTTGTTGCTGAGAACATGGATCAATTATTGAGTTTAAGTGTTGGATTCAGAAGAAATCTGTCACTCCCTGCTCCTCCCGCTATTGCATCCATTTTGCGTTCAAAGGCCATTGAATTTTTGGAAAAATGGAATGCTTCTTTTGGGGTTCATTATAGACAGATTAGATTGGGCTATGACTACCTTAAAAACACTTTGAGGTTTCAGTTTCCTAATTTGCAAGCAAATGCAACTCGGATTCAGCAGGAGAGAAGGGAAAGGGAGATGAGGACAAAAGAAATTTTACGCAATAAGTTTGGTATGCTGCGGCAAAATTTTTCTTCAATAAAGAAAGAAATACAGTCAACCGTAGATGAGATTGGAGAGTGTTTAGACATTCTCTGTGCTAAAGAGGAAAATATGTTACTTGCTTCCTTAGATGATGAAGATTTGGAGGAGTTCCATTCTTCTGAACTGAGGCAGATTCGTTTTGATTCATTGAAAGAAGGGGAAAAGGTGCATGAGAATAACGACAATAAAGTAGTTTTTGATGCATTGAGGGAGTTGTACAAGCTTTTAGTGTCCAAGCATCTGGTTTCCGTTCAAGAATGGATTTCTGTTCTTATAAGGGTGGAAGTGCCAGACAGTAGGTTTAGAGATTCAACACTAAAGGAATTCATTGATATACGAAATCGTCTACTATCAGTAAAGAAGAAATGTGAAGAATCAGGTTGTACTCTTGCAAACAATGTGAAACCGCTCAAAGAGGAGGAAGAAGAAGACTTTTGGGAAGAGGGTAAGATTGGATCAACAGAGGATAGGAAAACTAGCACACCCAATGAAAACAATATTAATCTTGCCATGGCATCAACCTCTGGCGAGGTCAGAAACGAGGATCCCAAAAGCAGTAATGAAAAATATGAAGGGAATGGCACACTGGATCATGAAAGCGGTAAAGCTGATTCAACATCACTTAGGAGTAAGCTTTTAACTGAAGCCCCAATGATCGAGTGGGGATCATATTTGAATTATTGGGGTTTGGACAGGGAAGTCTTGGCTAACCAGAGGGGCTTGGAGATTGACAATCACTGGGGTAGAGTAGACTTTGATGCAGTTATTCCAGCTGAGAAGATAGCAGAACTGAACCTTCGGGCATCTCGTTACAAAGAAGAACCGGTAGAAATTCAACCATGCCGTGCTCCTTTGAAGAAAGGCGGCCTTTGTCAGAGAAGAGATTTGGAAGTTTGTCCGTTTCATGGACCCATAATACCCCGAGATGATGAAGGAAATCCAATCAATCAGAGCTCTTCAATAGATGAGGAACTTACTAAGACGAATCAGATCTCTTCAATGGATACACTAACTAAGACGAACTCATCAATAGACGAGATGACTTCTGATTTTGGGTCTGATTTAACAGAGCAATTAGCAAAACAAGCTGTAAAGAATATCCGGGATAGAGATAAAGAGAAAGCAAGGAAGAGAAAAATTGATAAACAATTGCTGAGTCGTGCAAAACTTGCTAAAGTACGGGAACACAATGAAGCAGTTTTACGGGATGCTGCATTGGCTTCAACTTCGAGATCTGCAGCTATAGGAGAAGAAATGGAGGTTGGCAAGGGGAAGAAACCACTGGCCAGAAATAAGAAGCCAACTCTTGCATCCATGTTGCGGAATAAACAAACGGCAAAAGATAGGCTAGCTCAGAGACTTTTGAATACCCGAACAAGGGATTCAACAATAAGACAGCTGACGATGGGGGAGGATGCAAATTACCGAGAAGCCTTTCCAAATCAGTGGTAAATAGATATTTAAGTGCCAGCTGATTGGCCTTTGGGATTAGCACTGTGCTGCCGCTGATTGATTAAAATTTCAGCCGTATCAAGAGATATGATCAGCCATTTCATGTGTCATCTAAGGAGTTGAGGATTTAGTTGTTACTGTCAGATTCCTGTTGCATAGAAGGTACTTCAATTTATCTTGTTATATAATTAAAGTTGTTTGGACAAAGAGTTGTCATAGTTGTTGAGACAGAATTGTACGAAGTTATAGGAATAAAAGAATTGATAAAAAATTGTAATCACGCTCTCTGTTTTTTATCCACAATACAAATGAGTAAAGGTTCAAGCTATATTTTCTTTCTCAAGGTTTACCATGAATATATATACACATAAGGAGGAGTTACTGGTAAGCCAAAATACTTAAGCAGGTCATGTTGTTTATTCTTCGAATAACAGCTCATCTTGGTAATAGATTGAGAAGTTTATAATAGCTAAAATTTTGAGTTATGCGTTATAATCATAAGTAAAGCATACTGCTTACACACTCAAAACTTAATCTTCTTTTTTGCTTCGGTTACAATTGCATGCCTGGGAAGATCAACAAAAAGGGAAATTACTAACATCACTTACATGAAATCCGCTTATTTGCCTTGGTTACTACTTACTATAAGTAGCGAAACCAGGAAATTGCATTTGGGGGTCAAAGTATAAACCAGGAAATCGCACTTAACTATTTAAGGGGGTCAAAGGTTAGTTTAAAGAATAAGGGGGTTAAAGTGGAAAATTTAAATTTAAATGATGAAAATATATTTATACATCTAATTTATGAGAAATACTATACTTACAATTAAGTTGTACAACAATCATACAGATAGATGAAAAATAAAATATAAAGTAATTATTTTATATAAATTTTATGTAATTTTTACCTATTTTATATGATTCAGTTGTAAGAGAAACATTATTGATAATTTAAAAGTTTGTTTTATCACAGGAGGTAGGGCCAGCCGTCCATGGTCACAAATGGCAGACAACTAACGGGAGTATTTTCAGAAAATCATCTTTATGAAGCAGTGCTTGCAACTTATTTGGGTACAGATATTTCGTTGGGGAGTGTTTTTTAGCCCCTATCTAATTGGTTTGCACTTTGCACCACCCGCTTCTAAATTTATTTTATTTTTTAACAAATTTGACCTTAATTTAAATTACTAATAACAGCATAATTTCTAAATACACTTATATTTTATTTTTTATTTTTAACATTGTAAACTCTAATCCTAAATTTTTAATAACCTAATCCTAAATTCTAAATTTTCATAATCATTGAAACCTTTTATTTTATTTTAAATATTTGTTTGTTAGATGAAAATATAATACTAAAACTATGAAAAACATAAGGGGATGAATCTGAATCTGAAGAAGAAAAAATAAGTTGAAATTAGGAAATTGGGAAAAAAAATGTGTAAAAAAAAAACCTAATTAGTTTGAAATTGGGGAAAATAAATCTAATTAAGCCTAAAGGGTTATTTTCGGTATTAAATGGGGTTTAAAGAGGATTGTTATTTTTTTTATTTTTAGATATAAAAGCTGTGTTTTAAAAATCGGACCGGCCGGTTGGACCGGTTAGACCGTCGATCGGTCATTTATCCAGTCTAAAACATAATCAAAACAGTTTATATCATTTGGCCCGGATTGGACCATCCAAACAGTATCAAACCATCGGTCCAACCAGTCCAATAGAAAAACTGGGTCACTAAGAAAATACGCACCTTCATTTTCATATTCACTCCTAAGTATAAAAGAGGTGTATTGAGCTATAGTCAAATAAATACTTCCCTATTTTGTTTTGGTCTGACATTTCCTCGAGATCTGATCCTCGTATTGTCCAGGGTTCAGCCCATGGAAAATTTCAACCCATAATTTTATGTATTTCCAGTGTTATAAACCAGGCCTTGGGATTTCACCAAATTTTAAGGGCTCGAACTCAGACCTCAGATTTGTTATATTTTAATTATTACATTATAAATCAAGTCGTGAACGAACTAGAAGATAAATGACAATCAGAGAAAAAAAATTATTAAGATGGTGAACCTCCATTTTCTGTGGCAATCTCTTATTCTGTAGAAGTGTCTTTTTTCACCCAGACAGAAACAGGGTATTCACAAGTATTATATTATTTGAAGTGAAAAGTTCGAGTCAAGGTTAATAAAGTATTACAGTGATCTTCAATTTTCTTCGTTTGGTAGGGATGTGTTGACTATAAGATGGAAAATTATGATCTTAGCTCATGAACAGGAAGTAGGCTTCAATCTTCTAGTCTATGAATATTTGGTAAATTAGAGCCAGATTTATTGAGTTGTTAACCTTTTCCTTGGCTTCCAGTGGTCTGACTTTTGACAAGCATAATGGCAAGGGGATTCCTGTTGCAGATCTCTGAACATTTGTCCATGGGCTATAAGAGAAGAATAATATCCCATGTGATGTGCATAGATNCTCGAACTCAGACCTCAGATTTGTTATATTTTAATTATTACATTATAAATCAAGTCGTGAACGAACTAGAAGATAAATGACAATCAGAGAAAAAAAATTATTAAGATGGTGAACCTCCATTTTCTGTGGCAATCTCTTATTCTGTAGAAGTGTCTTTTTTCACCCAGACAGAAACACGGTGTTCACAAGTATTATATTATTTGAAGTGAAAAGTTCGAGTCAAGGTTAATAAAGTACTACAGTGATCTTCAATTTTCTCCGTTTGGTAGGGATGTGTTGACTATAAGATGGAAAATTATGATCTTAGCTCATGAACAGGAAGTAGGCTTCAATCTTCTAGTCTATGAATATTTGGTAAATTAGAGCCAGATTTATTGAGTAGTTAACCTTTTCCTTGGCTTCCATTGGTCTGACTTTTGACAAGCATAATGGCAAGGGGATTCCTGTTGCAGATCTCTGAACATTTGTCCATGGGCTATAAGAGAAGAATAATATCCCATGTGATGTGCATAGATATATAAAAATTAAACTACTCGGAAGATTTTTTTTTTTTTTCTGTCGGCAAAGCTTTCTAATGCGATGATTGAGGCCGTAAAAACAAATCATGTGCCGGTTTCTCAGGATTGATGGCGTGAACAGAAAATAATCAACATTATTTACAAAAATGACAATGATTTCTTAATTGATATATATATATTCAATAAAAAATAATAATAATAATCTTAACCTGAATTTGTACAATTTCTTTTGTTGTTTTCTATTGGAATTTATTTAGTTATTTTGTTGTTTTATTATGGACATTTCATTTCGGACTTTTATTTGTATCAATTTTAAATGTATTGTTACTCGTGGTCAATGGATATGTATGAATGTTTAATTTTTATTTGGATATATATTGTTAATATTTATAATTTAATTTAGAAAAAAATTATAAAAAAATAAGTTTTATCCAATAGAAAAGGGTTAACCGATTTTTTCAAAGCGGTTAACCGAAAAACCGGTTTTCCCCTCAAACCGGTTCAATTTCGATTAAAGAATTTTTCTAAACTGAAAAATCGGTTCGGTTAACTACTTTTTAAGACCCCTAATTTAGCCATCTCTTATATATCCTCCAAGCAGCTGTTAAGCGTTAAGGTGCCTAACTTTTTTGACTTGCTGGTGGTGCCATGTGTCTGATTGTAATATCTGATTTTTACTTCATGAAATGTATATATATTTCTTAAAAAGCATAAAATCGGCAGTTTGAGATTAATATAAAGGCGCAGAATGTGTAACAAAAGTAGTGGCTGATTATTAGATGTACAATGCATCCACCACCGGAAGCCTTTAATTGTGGCAATAAACTGATAAGAAGTAAATAAAGAAAGAGGAAGATATATTTATTACCTTGCAAAGAAAGTGGTGGGGTCCAATGTCATTCTTCAGACAATGAAAACTTATTAACATCAACAACTATGTCATAAGTGGAAGGGTATTATTTTTCATGACATGTCCAAGAATTTTATTTCCCGTTTACTATCATTATCAAGTCTTAAATAAGACGAATCAAAAGAATTTTGACACCTTGGTTCACGGATCTCATTAGTCAATTAAAGTATAATGTACGTCTTGTACAAGAATTTTTATCTCCGCCTTTATACCTTAAATCCACTTTCAACACACAAGAATAAGAATCTAGGAAAAGGATTAGGTTAATCAAGGAATTATCTTCCGTTTCCCAAAAACAACTTACCCATATTTCTCATAACTGTATAGTTTTTGTTTTTTACTGGAAAAAGAAATTTGATATCTTACTTTACACAAAAGGAAGGGATCAATTTAAGTTTTATTAATTATCCATATTACTGATGTATTAGAGTAAAACTTGGAAGCAGATTCATATATTTCATAATACAAACACATAAACCAAACAAGTGATTAAATCCTACTCACCTACTCTCAGTTTTTATCCCTCACCATTCTCAGATTTCATATCCAAGAAAGATTTCTTTCTCACCCTCCAAAATAAAAATAAATAAATAAAAAAAAGGGAAAGAGGTTTTTCCCATACAACTACACCCACGCGCATGTAAAATCAAGCGCAGCCACGCGGTGCAAACCCGACCCTTGAACCCGCCAAATCATAGACGACCCGGAATCCTTGTTGTTGGATATTCCCTATAATTGTCAACTTATTCATAGTTCCGGCAAAGGCAAAGCAAAAAGTCCCAGACGAATCCACCGGAATCAGATAATTACTAGCCGGCAATGACATGTCAGCGCCTCTAAAATGCAACACCACAGTGGGCACTTTTACTTCCTTCATTCCCGACAAATCGAAACACGTGTCAAACAACGAAAAGTCCGCTGCACGCTTTAAGCCAGACGCTCTAACTCGGAAAGCATCACGAAGTCTGATGTAGGCCGGTCGAGTCAACCGGGTCACTGATGTGCCCGAATCAATTATGACTCCGCCATTACCGGCTTCGTCAAGTTTGAACAGAGAAGGGGCTATGCCAGGGACACGTAAACCGCCGACACTGATCCCAAGGAGTTCAGCGTAGTAAAAAGTATCAAGCATGGGGTTTTTGATTAAAGGAGTGAAGCGGGCGGTTCGTGAAACAGCCGCATCGCCGAAAACCATAGAGGACGGCTTCGAAGAAGTTGAGCGATCAACCAAACAGTATGAGAACTTTCCGTTGAACCGGCGACTGGTTTGAGTAGGAAAAGACAACCTCCCTCGACCCAGTCCCATTAAACCCCCAGCACCAACGAAGAGACCTTCATTGTCGTGTCCACAACCGAGCGCCACTTGTCCAACCCTGCTCCCGCGAAACGTCAGGGTTTCTGTGGAGAACTCACCAACGGTGAAAGAACCGTCACCGTAAGCCACTTGGTAGAGACACGTCTGCGTTTTGGTGGAACAACCGGAAGATTCGAGGGTGCGACACATTGGGGAGCCACACGGTACTTTAGAATATGAGCGGGACTTACGCGGGTCGAATATCGGGTCGGTTTGAGAATAACATTTTTTACAGGGGGCGCACTGGAGCCAAAGGACATCACTTCCCGTGTCTAGGACCATGTAAACATACTTGGGAGGTGTGCCCACGCCGATGCGCGTGAAGTACTCACCGCTGCCCTGTGCAAGTCCCGATATGACGGAGCTGCTGAAACTTCCCCTCCCACGTGCACCAGAGCGGTTACGTGGGGGAGCACGTGCGGCAGATTCAACGATGCTGTTTAAGTTTTTGACGCGTAAGGAGTCGCGTTGGAGGCGAAGGTTGAAGAGGCTCTCAGAGGTTTGAGTTTCATTTAATGATAAAGAATCTAGGTTTTTGGTGATTGAAACTAAAGTATCAACGTGGTGTAAGTCTAGGGAGAAGGAGGATTCTCCATTGGTTTGGGTCAAGTCATTTAGATTAGTTTGGGCGTCGGATTGGGGCCATGAGAAGGTGGATGGGTTAGGGAGAGAGTTGAGAACTAGGGTTTGTGACTGGAGAGAGTTTGAGGTGGAGGTGACGGTGACGGTGGAGAAGAAGAAAATGGTGAAGAAGGAAAAGAGAAGGATTTTTTTCGCTTTTCCTTCCATTGAATAGAGTGTGAGAGAGAGAGAGGGAAACAGTGAAGAGTTCACAGGGCATGAGAGTAATATATAAATAATAATTGAGATTTGAGACACAATATGGGCGCGTTTATTACAGACGACTAGTTATAATTGAAAACTAACTAATACAGTGGAAACCCACTAACTTTACCCGCCCTCCCAGTTCCCACCTGTTTATATTTAGTGCGATGGCCAGACTCATAATCATAACTCTTGTAAATTGTGGTTTGTTTTTTTTGGTTGTTTAAAGGATCTGTGATGTACATAAATTATATATAGTTAACACTATGGTTCACTAATTATGTGGAATTTTTATTTTATTATAATATTTTCTTTAATAAAAAAAATCTTAACCATTTAAATGCATCTTAAGTTAGATTGACAGTAGCCTTGGAATTTTAATGTTGGAGAGACAAAAATGCGCTATTGTTGGGTGAGGTTTGCAGTAATAGATATTAATTAATGCTTAAAATTCTTATGTAAAAGACTTATCTTGAAACTTGGAGAATTGATACACTGTACCTAATCTTATCAAATCAGCATGCACATGTAACATTAAATTTCGTCATGTTATTATGTACAAATTGGAGTTGTAATTCTTGCATTGATTATTATTAATACTGGTCAAGTGGTCATACCCATTATTAATCGATTAAGATATTTTACCCAACATAAACCCCACACGTTTTAATTCTCCTCATGGAAGAACATGCTCCTCCTTGTTTTGCTTTTTGAAACTAATTGAATTGTTTTGGAAATATGTATTTACAAGTTAATTTAAAGAAATAAAAAAGATTATTGGTGATATTTTTGTTTTATTCCTTTAAATAAAATATATTTTGGTTTGTCCACAAAGCAACAAATTTTGCACTTCCCATGCATGGGTTGGTTTGATGGACAATAAATAGAGTATTTGACAGCTGAAAGTAGGTCCATAAACAACATTTGTCGACGAATTCATGGACCCTAACACGTAGTCTCTTCAACCTGTCTTCCACTTCCAGTTGATATTTTTGATGAACCAAAACTACATTGAGGAAAGTACAAAAATATATGGTATAATCATTTTATTTTATAATATTATCTCAAAAGACCTCAGAATTTCCAACTATGCATTCATACCTGATTCCTTCTTGTGCGACGAAGATTGCGGTCATTTCAATTATTCCCAATCATGCATGCTCACTCAACCCGTTGATTTGACTCAGTCTTTATGGTATTCACATTCCCGCGTTCGGCTTTTCATTATGACCAGAAGTCTACAAAGCAAGTCATCGGTTAGAGGTGAAAAACGTTGTTGCATCTTCTTGCTACGCCCATCTGTCATCCGGATTCTCGTCTCTCTGCCCTTTCCCTTCCTTCTTTTAATTTTATTATTCACTGACAAGAAAATAATTTATGTAGATCGTATTCGTATTTGGATTAAAAATATAATATACTCATTGTTTTGAAGTACATAATTTTATTTTATTTTTAATTTGATTTAATATTAATAAGTTCATAAAAGTTTGAATTTTATTCTATTTAAGTAATCTAGTTTACTTGATTGAAACCCCATACAACACATAATAACGGGTTATATTAAAAAAAAAAAAAAAGAAGTTATTATTATGGGATAGTATGTGCCCACCTCAGTTGATTCTCGAGATCAATTGAACATCCTACAAACTTAAAAAATTAACCTCTTTGTCCTTGATTTTCAGGCGAACTCCTTCGGTTATAAGTCATATATATTCATTTTGTTTATTATAAAATAACAATAATTTGCGGTTGCCTTTATCTACAATAACGAAATTTATTATCTAAATTATGAAATCTAACTGAACTTAGATAAATTGAATTAGGTCAGTGCATTAATGAGTGAAAAATAAATTGGATTTTAATGGTTCCAACTTAGAAATAAGGCTTATCTCTTATTAGGTAACTTTAATATCTTGGATAGGGTATTGACAAAATATTTAAAGATTGAAAAAAGTGCTAAGGTAACATTATAGGTACATGAAGGACAATGAATCACGTAATGTGTTGATGCTTGATTTTGACATCAACGACTCGGACGTACAAAGTACTAAGTTGCTCTTAGAAGCTACATGTGAATGGTTGCAAATAATCTAATGCAAAGATTGAACAATAAATGAAAGACAATTTGTAAAGTTGTTCGGATGCTTAACGCGAATCCTACATCCATTGCTATTTTATATATAAAAGATTACAAGAGATCGCGTATAGCGAATAACGAACAGAGGTACAATAACTGATTATTCAGATAGAATATCAAGTCAATCTCTTTCTTGTAGGTTATCTGTGCTCTGAGAATATAGATTATAATCAGAATGAGGGTTTTTTTGCATCAAATCCTGAAAATGAGAGGGGGAGTCATCTATTTATAGTTGAGGAATTCAAGGTAATGATTACAAATCTGTAAGTGAGTAGGTGTTGTGCAAATCATTCTTTGCCTCTCATTGGTTAATAACTTATGATACATCCTCAAGTTACTAGGGGCTTGGATAAGTGTGCGGCTTTCATTCACTCATAGATAAAACCTAAATCTGTCAAATTGGTGATAACTATATTCTCTCTGTCTTGAAGTGATGTGATTTTCATTCACTCATAAATAAAAATTAAATCTATGAAGTTGGTAACAATCGTATTCCCCCTATCTTGGGGCAATGTGATAGCCCTTAGTAGAGGCAAAGTTTTCTTGAAGTTCGATTGGAGCTAGCCGATGTAGACTCATCGCATAATATAATGTAAATGTACAACTAGAGAGATAATGAGAGTCAGCAAAACGAAACCTAATTGTTTGGTTCGATATAAAGATAGAACATGCACGGTGACCAATGTGTCAAATTTTCAGTACAAAATGACAAACGCCTCCCATGGATTTTATTTCAGAAAGTTTACATGAACATGTTCGTAGGTCCCATTACCCATTTTTAATTTTCTCTTCTCGTGGGCAGCCTTCAGCAATGATGTAAGTGCAGCTAATTGCCTAATTGAAATTGACTTTTTTCTTTCAAGAAATGACCCATCACAACTCCTTCAAATCATCCATTGACATGGTTAATCACGGGAATGTCGGCATGACAATTGGGTGGTTATGAGAGGTTTATCTTATCATTAATTTTAAGATGAGAGGAAATTAATTGAGATATTGGTAATCTGATTCCAACACTCTCAAGGTTCTTATCAACAGGAAAAATGTTGACATGATATCAGGTTTGATTTTAATTATAATTGACTGCAACATAGATTAGGAGACAAAATTTAAGACTACTCTGATAAATTACGACAATACAAAGTGAACATAGCTGAAAAAAGGCTGGTTAAATTCATAGATGATGTAACAACTAGCAATCACACTCGACTTTATATAGTTACATTACATATATTTAAAGCAAAACAAATTTTGGTAGACAAGGCTAGAAAATAAATCATAAATGGCAAGGGGCCGCAAAAACTGCAGCCAGTCTCCTCATCAATGTCAAAGGGACTTATCTTTCTCTTCAAAAGTATGGCATATCTTAATCTTCGCCATCTACGAAAATGTCACACTCTCTTATCTATCTATCTATCCCACTTTTGCTTAGGTGAACTGGGCAGCGATATAAATGTGCAGTAGAATATTAATTAATATATATTTATGGAACTGGCATTTGCAATTAATGGTATCGGTCCCTAGGTACTGTACTTAAATACAAAGGTACACATAATAAATGCTCCGTATAAATATTAACATTACTTTGGTGAATGACATGAATACATGTTTTTTTTCTCAGAAATAATAAAGTTGGAAGGGAAGGGCAGAGGGGCCAGTAACTGGTGCCTGGTGGGGAACACTCCCTACAACTTCACAGGAAAAAGGTCATCTTGGAAGGTGGGCTGGGAAGAATGACAGCAGAGAGGGTAAGCACTATCTTGCCGCCTTGTAAAAATTATAATTGAAGCCTGTTCGCAAAAACCGAGTGGGCTACTAGGTTTTTCTCAAAAGCAAGAAAAGAATATTAATAGAAAAACAAGAGGAATCATGAACCGAAAGAACTAATGAATTAAATTAAGCATGCGACTCAATAAGGTATTATAGAAATCTTGTAAGGGAAAAAGAGAAAAGGTAAAATTAATACCAATAAGTTGTCCAACTCAAGAGCACTAACAATAAAACATACACAGAAAGTAAAGGAGATGGGTAATTTAACCTTGCATCCTATATCTTTATCTTCAAATTAAACCATTTATTGAATTTCAGAAACTCTGAAAAGTAATTTCTCATGGGAAATTGATGGTGAAACTTCACTACAGTAGGGGGGGGTTTTTATATCAAGAAGATGCGATGTGAAATGTTCTCATCACTAAAGTTGTCAAAGCGAATGGGGTGAAGGAAGAGGGAAGAATATAACTTTACAATTATGATTCACGTGGAAGAAAGTAACTCATTTTACACGCCAGAGGAACCAGAAGAAAATTTCTCATTTAGATGTGGACCCAGATGCTGCCATAAAGTAAAATGCTAATCAGATCGAGTAAAGTGACTTTGGAAAGCTTGGTTATTACTCAAACAAGACAAAATTTGGCACTCACCCCGCAGCACAGCTACACAAATGGTAATTCCCTTTAACAAAACAATCCGAAGATCTGAAACTCCATACTCCAAGGTCCATACACTTTCTAATACATTGTGCACTTATACAAAGAATGCGCAAAAAGAAGTAAAACAGAGACGCAAATTGGATGTAAACAGTTCATCCTGAAGTATGTGTGAGATCAATACAGTTTTTTGTTCATTTTCGGTAATGACTCTTACTTCATGGTTATAAAGACTAAACCCAAAAGTAGATTCAGCCATTAAATTCCATCAAGAATAGACCAGTTAGTCTTACTCTTATTTGATATTCAAAGCCCATAAAAGCACGAATATCCAACGAAGGCATCATTATTTCTCTCTATACCAATCTCCACTTTTCCCGCCACTTTTACTTTCAAGCCGTACATCTGTGATCTGGACATCTTTTGAAGCAGCCTTGCACATATCATAAACAGTTAGGCCAGCCACGGTCACAGCAGTCAGTGCTTCCATTTCAACCCCAGTTTTTCCCGTTGACACTGCTTCCCCTTCTATATCAACACTAAAATCTTTATCATTCAGAGTGAGATTAACACGAACATGAGTCAGGGTGATATTATGGCAGAGGGGAATGAGAGAGCTGGTGTGCTTTGCTCCATTAATGCCAGCAATTTTGGCGACACTAAGGACATCTCCCTTGGCCAATTGGTTGGCTAAGACCAAATCAAATACCTTCTTCCCCAAAATTACCTTGCTACTAGCAATGGCGGTTCTTTTACTATTTTCTTTAAGAGAAACATCCACCATTTGTGCTGCTCCTGTACTGCCAACATGGGTCAGGACAGGAGTGCTTCCTCCTATTTTTGAAGATGTCTGCGATTCTTGAGCCATGAAATCGTTACTTACAGAACCAGCAAATCCATTTGGAGGAGGTTCACCAAAGACCGTTTCCATTTCCTGCGACCACAATTACCATATAAATTCAAACAAAATGTAGCTATGCATTCAATTTTTTAAGAAGGAGGAATTACATCTTGTCTTGATATTAGATTAGACTACACCAGAGAAATTGAACTATATATAAACTCATATAATAGTTAAAAACAATAATGCATTATTGACCATAACTCTTTCATATTGAACTTCAAGATTCACTCTAAAAGTTCTTACGCTATTTAGGCGGAAAAAAAAAAAAAAAAACAAACAAACAAACAAAACAGAGCCCTACCCCATCTTTCCGTTCCATGACCTAACACGACGTATGTGATTAATAACAACATAACACAGAGAAATCAGAACAGTTCATATTAATCAACTTCAAGATTTCAGGTCTTACCTTATTGAGCTCCGCAATTCTGCTTGCAAGGTCATGGCTAATGTTACTACTATACAACCTTCTTGACTGATGAAACGCAACAGCAAGCCGACGAAGAATCATGATGGAAGCTGCAAGGAAATTCAGATAACATTTTCTCTATTAAACCAATGTTCAAAGAGTTCTCATATCTCGGAAGTAAATTTTTTAATACAAAATTATCCTTAGCTACAAGGAGAACATGCTTTTAGAAAAGGATATAAATTGTTTTCTATAGCATCCAATAAACTCTGGCTCTTTTTGGAATTTTATCAAACGCTTTACACGCATTTCAGTTTCATTACCCAACATTCAGATTTTATTTCCTTCTGTTTTCTCTATTCGGTAATCTGTAATCATGCATAACTTGTGCAGAAGTTAATGCTTAGATATCGCCGAGCCACATTACAACATAACATCTTACAAGTGTTATTTTGAACGATAAATCTTTCAAACTATGAACCATACCACTCTTACTATGACATACTTACTTTTTCGTGTTCCAGAAAGCCCTCCCAAATTTTGAAGGGTTAAGGGAATATTGATCACGTGTCACGGTAATTGCATTTAAGGAAAAATTAAGCACTCGGTCCCGGTGTATATGCGGGGGTAATTTGTGAACAAATGAGGTGTTGCGGAAATGATCGCACCATCTGAGGGCCCTTACAATTCTGTTTGATATAGCAGCAACTTATATATATCTTCGACAGTGTGGAATTTCCATTTTACCATTTCAATTAAACGGTAACCTTTTTTTTTTTTTATTTTTTTTTTTTTACCGCAGTGTTAGGTCAATTTGCATGTACTTCAACTAATTCTTCGAAATCTTAAAACTAATATTTGGGTAAGAACTCAATAACCACCCCTATTAATGTCTAGACAGCTTTTACTTTTTTTACTATTTATAACCAACTATTTTAAACTCAATTTTATTAATCAAAATTTATGCTAATTTAAGTCTTCATAATTTAGTGTAGTGATATAACATATATGCTATAAAAAAATTATAAAAAAAATGGAATAATGAAGTTTGCTATGAAGTTAAATCGCAGCAATAGATCAAAGTCAAATGTTGTCCACTCAAAAGTTAATCTTCCTTCCCAAAACAAATAGTTTTTAAGTTTTATTAATTTCTGAAGTTTATTTATTAAAAAACCATTCAGCGGTACATGCGGTCTGCCAAGCGCGGCCTGGCAATAGCCATCAACGCCTTGGCTTTTGGCATGGTCATCCCATACACCTCGCTGGTATCAATATCCTCATGCTTTAAACCCTCCGGCGGGCTCCAATCAAAACAGTGAAAGAGCCGAGCCAAAGCCATTAGCACTAAAGTTACCCCAAGTGGCGCGCCAGGACACTTTCTCTTTCCAGCACTAAATGGCAGTATCTTGAAATCGGCTCCATGGCTTATCTCCACTCGGCTTCCATCACCCAGCCAATGTCTTTCAGGCCGAAACTCTTCAATATTGGTCCATATCTTGGTGTTCCTGCCCAGCCCATGAGTGTTGATGAAGACACGTGTTTTAGCCGGAATATAATAGCCGTTGATTGTTGTGGCACGTAGGGATTCATGAGGAATAAGGAACGGCCCAGCTGGATGCATGCGAAATGTTTCGCGTACTACACAGCGTAAATAGTTGAGGTGAGCCAGATCAGTTTCATTGACCATTCTATCACGACCCACAACAAAATCAAGCTCTTCTTGTATCTTGCGAAGGACACGTGGGTGCTTAATTACTTCTGCCATTGCCCATTCGTTGGTCACAGCTGAAGTATCAGTTGCAGCGGCTATCATGTCCTACAACATCACCAAGTTATACAAAATTAGAATTTAAAGGATAACGGCAAAAAGAAAAGATTGAAATACAGGAGTGTATTACTATAGGTACTTATAAAGAGAGAGACCTGAATTAAAGCTTTAATTTCCACATCCTCCATGTGTTGTTTCCCATTCTCGCCAGGCAAAGACAATAAAACATCAACGAAATCTATCTCTCCATCTGCACCTTTAGCTAAATTTATCTTCTTCTTCCTGTGTTCTTCAATAATCTTGGTGTGAAAATCATCAATTCGTTTCTCAACTTCCCTCATTTTCTTCTCACATCCATAAGGATCCACCCATCTCCAAATTGGCAAATAATCACCCAAATATATCAAACCCAAAAGCCGAAACAACTCGTGTGTTATGTGCATGAACTCCATGGCTTCTTCTGGGCCTGCTGATCCGCTGCCGAAGTATTGTTTACCCAACAACATCCTAGTCACGTTGTTCATAGAGAATGCACCCAATACTTCCCTCAAGTTCACAGCCTTCCCAGTTTGAGCCAGGACCCAGACATCTTGAACAAGATGTTGGGCTTCAACAGCCCTGTGGTTCGCAAACGACTCCAGCCTCTTTGTTGTTAATAGGTTCTCCATGCAAATTCTCCGCATTCTCTTCCAATTTGGGCCTAATGGGGCCAAGGCCACATCTCCACATCCATACGCTAGATGGACAGCAGCGAGTGTCCGTGGTCTGGAGGCAAATGTTTCATCTTGCCGGAGAAGTATCTCACGTATGACATCGGGGTCATTGGTGGTGATGGCGTCGATGCTACCTAGGCGAAGGTAGACCAATGGCCCATATTTATCACACAAGGAAGCAAGATCTCTGTGAGGCAATTGGCCCAACTGAAGGAGGTTGCCAAATATGGGCCATCTAGGTGGGCCTGGAGGAAGCCTTTTCTTCTTATGCAGAGTCTTTTGACTGAGGCAGCGATGTATGATGATAACGACGAGAGAAGCAAAGAGAAGGATCGAAGCAAATATGGCGAAGTCCATGAGTATCACTGAGTTCTTGAGCTAACAGATATAGCTACTTTGATTTGGTTATTTATGAAGTGCCATAAGGTATCCCAGTTAGAATCCTTCAAAGTTTGCATGTTATGCTTGGGGGAAAGGTTTATTTGCTCCTATATATATATATAAGATTTAAGGTTCTTGAAATTTATTCATAAAATAATGAATAATTATTTATTTATATCCACAACCTTGACATGCCGCAAATATTTTTGCTTTGCTGTTTTTGTTTTTATTATTGATGGTGAAACTTCACTACAGTAGGGGGGTTTTTATATCAAGAAGATGCGATGTGAAATGTTCTCATCACAAGTTGTCAAAGCGAATGGGGTGAAGGAAGAGGAAGAATATAACTTTACAATTATGATTCACGGGAAGAAAGTAACCCATTTAACACGCCAGAGGAACCAGAAGAAAATTTCTCATTTAGATGTGGACCCAGATGCTGCCATAAAGTAAAATGCTAATCAGATCGAGTAAGTGACTTTGGAAAGCTTGGTTATTACTCAAACAAGACAAAATTGGCACTCACCCCGCATACACAAATGGTAATTCCCTTTAACAAAACAATCCGAAGTCTGAAACTCATATCCAAGGTCCATACACTTTCTAATACATTGTGCACTTATACAATGAATGCGCAAAAAGAAGTAAAACAGAGACGCAAATGGATGTAAACAGTTCATCCTGAAGTATGTGTGAGATCAATACAGTTTTTTGTTCATTTTCGGTAATGACTCTTACTTCATGGTTATAAAGACAAACCCAAAAGTAGATTCAGCCATTAAATTCCATCAGAATAGACCAGTTAGTCTTACTCTTATTTGATATTCAAAGCCCATAAAAGCAGAATATCCAACGAAGGCATCATTATTTCTCTCTATACCAATCTCCACTTTCCCACTTTTACTTTCAAGCCGTACATCTGTGATCTGGACATCTTTTGAAGCAGCCTTGCACATATCATAAACAGTTAGGCCAGCCAGGTCACAGCAGTCAGTGTTATTTCAACCCCAGTTTTTCCCGTTGACACTGCTTCCCCTTCTATATCAACACTAAAATCTTTATCATTCAGAGTGAGATTAACACGAACATGAGTCAGGGTGATATTATGGCAGAGGGGAATGAGGGAGTGGTGTGCTTTGTCCATTAATGCCAGCAATTTTGGCGACACTAAGGACATTCCCTTGGCCAATTGGTTGCTAAGACCAAATCAAATACCTTCTTCCCCAAAATTACCTTGTATAGCAATGGCGGTTTTTACTATTTTCTTTAGAGAAACATCCACCATTGTGCTGCTCCTGTACTGCCAACATGGGTCAGGACAGGAGTGCTACCTCCATTTTTGAAGATGTCTGCGATTCTTGAGCCATGAAATCGTTACTTACAGAACCAGCAAATCCATTTGGAGGAGGTTCACCAAAGACCGTTCCATTTCCTGCGACACAATTACCAAATAAATTCAAAAAAATGTAGCATAAACTAGATTCAATTTTTTAAGGAGGAGGAATTACATCTTGTCTTGATATTAGATTAGACTACACCATAGAAATTGAACTATTATAAACTCATATAATAGTTAAAAACAATAATGTATTATTGACCATAACTCTCATATTGAACTTCAAGATTCACTCTAAAAGTTCTTACGCTATTTAGGCGGAAAAAAAAAAAAAAAAAAACAAACAAACAAAACAGAGCCCTACCCATCTTTCCGTTCCATGACCTAACCACACGTATGTGATTAATAACAACATAACACAGAGAAATCGAACGTTCATATCAATCAACTTCAAGATTCAGGTCTTACCTTATTGAGCTCCGCAATTCTGCTTGCAAGGTCTGGCTAATGTTACTACTATACAACCTTCTTGACTGATGAAACAACAGCAAGCCGACGAAGAATCATGATGGAAGCTGCAAGGAAATTCAGATACAATTTTTCATAAACCAATGTTCAAAGAGTTTCATATCTCGGAGTAAATTTTTTAATACAAAATTATCCTTAGCTTCAAGGAGAACATGCTTTTAGAAAAGGATATAAATTGTTTCTATAGCATCCAATAAACTCTGGCTCTTTTAGGAATTTATCAAACTGTACACGCATTTCAGTTTCATTACCCAACATTCGATTTTATTTCTTCTGTTTTTCTATTCGGTAATCTGTAATCATGCATAAATGTGCAGAAGTTAATGCTTAGATATCCCGAGCCACATTATACTAACATCTTACAAGTGTTATTTTGAATAATAAATCTTTCAAACTATGAACCATACCTTCTACTAAACATACTTACTTTTTCGTGTTCCAGAAAGCCCTCCAAATTTGAAGGTTAAGGAATATGGCAGGGATGTGGAATGGTTTGCAATTTATTCTTCAAGGCCAAACACAGCACGTAAATTATGAGCTTCACTTTGCTAACGTGTCACGGTAATTGCATTTAAGGAAAAATTAAGCACTCGGTCCGGGTATATGCGGGGGTAATTTATGAACAAATGAGGTGCTGCGGAAATGATTGCATCATCCGAAGGCCTTTCATTAATTTACATGAACACAAGTCATATATATTCATTTTGTTTATTATAAAATCACAATAATTTGCGGTTGCCTTTAGCTACAATAACGAAATTTATTATCTAAATTATGAAATCTAACTGAACTTAGATAAATTGAATTAGGTGAGTACATTAATGAGTGAAAAATAAATTGGATTTTAATGGTTCCAACTTAGAAATAAGGCTTATCTCTTATTAGGTAACTTTAGTATCTCGATCGGGTATTGACAAAATATTAAAGATTGAAAAAAGTGCTAAGGTAACATTATAGGTACATGAAGGACAATGAAACATGTAATGTATTGATGCTTGATTTTGATATCAATGACTCGCACGTGTAAAGTACTAAGTTGCTCTTAGAAGTTATACGTGAATGGTTGCAGATAATCTAATGCAGAGATTGAACAATAAATGAAAGACGATTTTTAAAGTTGTTCGGATGCTTAACGCGAATTTTATATCCATTGTTGTTTTATATATGAGAGATTACAAGAGATCACATATAGCAAATAGCGAACAGAGGTACATAGTGTACAATAACTGATTATTCAGATAAAATATCAAGTCAGTCTCTTTCTTGTAGGTTATCTGTGCTTTGAGAATATAGATTACAATCAGAATGAGGGTTTTTGTATCAAATCCTGAAAATGAGAGGGGGAGTCATTTATTTATAGTAGAGGAATTCAAGGTAATGATTACAAATCTGTAAGTGGGTAGGTATTGTACAAGTCATTTCTTGCCTCTCATTGGTTAAATACTTAAGATACATTCTCAAGTTACTTGAAATTGGATAAGTGTACGACTTTCATTCATTCATAGATAAAATCTAAATCTATCAAGTTGGTAACAACCATTCTCTTTATCTTGAGAAAATGTAATAGCTGTTAAGCGATCCAAAGTTTTCTTAAACTTCATTGGAGTTAACTGATGTAGACTTATAGATCATCGCATAACATAACGTAAATGTACAACTACAGAGATAATGAGAGTCAGCAAAACGACATCTAATTGTTTGGTTCGATATAAAGATAGAACATGCACGGTGACCAATGTGTCAAATTTTCAGTACAAAATGACAAACGCCTCCCATGGATTTGATTTCAGAAAGTTTACATGAACATGTCCGTCGGTCCCATTACCCATTTTTAATTTTCTCCTCTCGTGGGCAGCCTTCAGCAATGATGTAAGTGTAGCTAATTGCCTAATTGCAATTGACTTTTGTCTTTCAATAAATGACCCATCCCAACTCCTTCAAATCATCCATTGACATGGTTAATCGCGGGAATGTCGGCATGACAATTGGGTGGTTATGAGAGGTTTATCTTATCATTAATTTTAAGATGAGAGGAAATTAATTGAGATATTGGTAATCTGATTCCAACACTCTCAAGGTTCTTATCAACAGGAAAAATGTTGACATGATATCAGGTTTGATTTTAATTATAATTGACTGCAACATAGATTAGGAGACAAAATTTAAGACTACTCTGATAAATTACGACAATACAAAGTGAACATAGCTGAAAAAAGGCTGGTTAAATTCATAGATGATGTAACAACTAGCAATCACACTCGACTTTATATAGTTACATTACATATATTTAAAGCAAAACAAATTTTGGTAGACAAGGCTAGAAAATAAATCATAAATGGCAAGGGGCCGCAAAAGCTGCAGCCAGTCTCCTCATCAATGTCAAAGGGACTTATCTTTCTCTTCAAAAGTATGGCATATCTTAATCTTCGCCATCTACGAAAATGTCACACTCTCTTATCTATCTATCTATCCCACTTTTGCTTAGGTGAACTGGGTAGCGATATAAATGTGCAGTAGAATATTAATTAATATATATTTATGGAACTGGCATTAGCAATTAATGGTATTGGTCCCTAGGTACTGTACTTAAATACTAAGGTACACATAATAAATGCTCCGTATAAGTATTAACATTACTTTGGTGAATGACATGAATACATGTTTTTTTTCTCAGAAATAATAAAGTTGGAAGGGAAGGGCAGAGGGACCATTAACTGGTGCCTGGTGGGGAACACTCCCTACAACTTCACAGGAAAAAGGTCATCTTGGAAGGTGGGCTGGGAAGAATGACAGCAGAGAGGGTAAGCACTATCTTGCCGCCTTGTAAAAATTATAATTGAAGCCTGTTCGCAAAAACCGAGTGGGCTACTAGGTTTTTCTCAAAAGCAAGAAAAGAATATTAATAGAAAAACAAGAGGAATCATGAACCGAAAGAACTAATGAATTAAATTAAGCATGCGACTCAATAAGGTATTATAGAAATCTTGTAAGGGAAAAAGAGAAAAGGTAAAATTAATACCAATAAGTTGTCCAACTCAAGAGCACTAACAATAAAACATACACAGAAAGTAAAGGAGATGGGTAATTTAACCTTGCATCCTATATCTTTATCTTCAAATTAAACCATTTATTGAATTTCAGAAACTCTGAAAAGTAATTTCTCATGGGAAATTGATGGTGAAACTTCACTACAGTAGGGGGGGGTTTTTATATCAAGAAGATGCGATGTGAAATGTTCTCATCACTAAAGTTGTCAAAGCGAATGGGGTGAAGGAAGAGGGAAGAATATAACTTTACAATTATGATTCACGTGGAAGAAAGTAACTCATTTTACACGCCAGAGGAACCAGAAGAAAATTTCTCATTTAGATGTGGACCCAGATGCTGCCATAAAGTAAAATGCTAATCAGATCGAGTAAAGTGACTTTGGAAAGCTTGGTTATTACTCAAACAAGACAAAATTTGGCACTCACCCCGCAGCACAGCTACACAAATGGTAATTCCCTTTAACAAAACAATCCGAAGATCTGAAACTCCATACTCCAAGGTCCATACACTTTCTAATACATTGTGCACTTATACAATGAATGCGCAAAAAGAAGTAAAACAGAGACGCAAATTGGATGTAAACAGTTCATCCTGAAGTATGTGTGAGATCAATACAGTTTTTTGTTCATTTTCGGTAATGACTCTTACTTCATGGTTATAAAGACTAAACCCAAAAGTAGATTCAGCCATTAAATTCCATCAAGAATAGACCAGTTAGTCTTACTCTTATTTGATATTCAAAGCCCATAAAAGCATGAATATCCAACGAAGGCATCATTATTTCTCTCTATACCAATCTCCACTTTTCCCACCACTTTTACTTTCAAGCCGTACATCTGTGATCTGGACATCTTTTGAAGCAGCCTTGCACATATCATAAACAGTTAGGCCAGCCACGGTCACAGCAGTCAGTGCTTCTATTTCAACCCCAGTTTTTCCCGTTGACACTGCTTCCCCTTCTATATCAACACTAAAATCTTTATCATTCAGAGTGAGATTAACACGAACATGAGTCAGGGTGATATTATGGCAGAGGGGAATGAGAGAGCTGGTGTGCTTTGCTCCATTAATGCCAGCAATTTTGGCGACACTAAGGACATCTCCCTTGGCCAATTGGTTGGCTAAGACCAAATCAAATACCTTCTTCCCCAAAATTACCTTGCTACTAGCAATGGCGGTTCTTTTACTATTTTCTTTAAGAGAAACATCCACCATTTGTGCTGCTCCTGTACTGCCAACATGGGTCAGGACAGGAGTGCTTCCTCCTATTTTTGAAGATGTCTGCGATTCTTGAGCCATGAAATCGTTACTTACAGAACCAGCAAATCCATTTGGAGGAGGTTCACCAAAGACCGTTTCCATTTCCTGCGACCACAATTACCATATAAATTCAAACAAAATGTAGCTATGCATTCAATTTTTTAAGAAGGAGGAATTACATCTTGTCTTGATATTAGATTAGACTACACCAGAGAAATTGAACTATATATAAACTCATATAATAGTTAAAAACAATAATGCATTATTGACCATAACTCTTTCATATTGAACTTCAAGATTCACTCTAAAAGTTCTTACGCTATTTAGGCGGAAAAAAAAAAAAAAAAACAAACAAACAAACAAAACAGAGCCCTACCCCATCTTTCCGTTCCATGACCTAACACGACGTATGTGATTAATAACAACATAACACAGAGAAATCAGAACAGTTCATATTAATCAACTTCAAGATTTCAGGTCTTACCTTATTGAGCTCCGCAATTCTGCTTGCAAGGTCATGGCTAATGTTACTACTATACAACCTTCTTGACTGATGAAACACAACAGCAAGCCGACGAAGAATCATGATGGAAGCTGCAAGGAAATTCAGATAACATTTTATCTATTAAACCAATGTTCAAAGAGTTCTCATATCTCGGAAGTAAATTTTTTAATACAAAATTATCCTTAGCTTCAAGGAGAACATGCTTTTAGAAAAGGATATAAATTGTTTTCTATAGCATCCAATAAACTCTGGCTCTTTTAGGAATTTTATCAAACGCTTTACACGCATTTCAGTTTCATTACCCAACATTCGGATTTTATTTCCTTCTGTTTTCTCTATTCGGTAATCTGTAATCATGCATAACTTGTGCAGAAGTTAATGCTTAGATATCTCCGAGCCACATTACTACTTAACATCTTACAAGTGTTATTTTGAATAATAAATCTTTCAAACTATGAACCATACCATTCTTACTATAACATACTTACTTTTTCGTGTTCCAGAAAGCCCTCCCAAATTTTGAAGGGTTAAGGGAATATTGGTCAGGGATGTGAGAATGGTTTGCAATATTTATTCTTCAACGGCCAAACACAGCACGTAAATTATGAGCTTCAACTTTGCTAACGTGTCACGGTAATTGCATTTAAGGAAAAATTAAGCACTCGGTCCCGGTGTATATGCGGGGGTAATTTATGAACAAATGAGGTGCTGCGGAAATGATTGCATCATCCGAAGGCCTTTCATTAATTTACATACACTACAACTAATCTTTCGAAACCTTAAAACTAATAATTGGGTAAGAACTCAATAGCCACCTTTATTAATGGCTAGACAGCTTTTTACTTTTTTTTACTATTTGTAACCAACTACTTTAAACAATTCAATTTTATTAATCAAAATTTATGCTAATTTAAGTCTTCATAATTTAGTGTAGTGATGTTACATATATGCTATAAATAAATTATAAAAAAATGGAATAATGAAGTTTACTATGAAGTTAAATCGCAGCAATAGATCAAAGTCAAAGGTTGTCCACTCAAAAGTTAATCTTCCTTCCCAAAACAAATAGTTTTTAAGTTTTATTAATTTCTGAAGTTTATTTATTAAAAAACCATTCAGCGGTACATGCGGTCTGCCAAGCGCGGCTTGGCAATAGCCATCAACGCCTTGGCTTTTGGCATGGTCATCCCATACACCTCGCTGGTATCAATATCCTCATGCTTTAAACCCTCCGGCGGGCTCCAATCAAAACAGTGAAAGAGCCGAGCCAAAGCCATTAGCACTAAAGTTACCCCAAGTGGCGCGCCAGGACACTTTCTCTTTCCAGCACTAAATGGCAGTATCTTGAAATCGGCCCCATGGCTTATCTCCACTCGGCTTCCATCACCCAGCCAATGTCTTTCAGGCCGAAACTCTTCAATATCGGTCCATATCTTGGTGTTCCTGCCCAGCCCATGAGTGTTGATGAAGACACGTGTTTTAGCCGGAATATAATAGCCGTTGATTGTTGTGGCACGTAGGGATTCATGAGGAATAAGGAACGGCCCAGCTGGATGCATGCGAAATGTTTCGCGTACTACACAGCGCAAATAGTTGAGGTGAGCCAGATCAGTTTCATTGACCATTCTATCACGACCCACAACAAAATCAAGCTCTTCTTGTATCTTGCGAAGGACACGTGGGTGCTTAATTACTTCTGCCATTGCCCATTCGTTGGTCACAGCTGAAGTATCAGTTGCAGCGGCTATCATGTCCTACAACATCACCAAGTTATACAAAATTAGAATTTAAAGGATAACGGCAAAAAGAAAAGATTGAAATACAGGAGTGTATTACTATAGGTACTTATAAAGAGAGAGACCTGAATTAAAGCTTTAATTTCCACATCCTCCATGTGTTGTTTCCCATTCTCGCCAGGCAAAGACAATAAAACATCAACGAAATCTATCTCTCCATCTGCACCTTTAGCTAAATTTATCTTCTTCTTCCTGTGTTCTTCAATAATCTTGGTGTGAAAATCATCAATTCGTTTCTCAACTTCCCTCATTTTCTTCTCACATCCATAAGGATCCACCCATCTCCAAATTGGCAAATAATCACCCAAATATATCAAACCCAAAAGCCGAAACAACTCGTGTGTTATGTGCATGAACTCCATGGCTTCTTCTGGGCCTGCTGATCCGCTGCCGAAGTATTGTTTACCCAACAACATCCTAGTCACGTTGTTCATAGAGAATGCACCCAATACTTCCCTCAAGTTCACAGCCTTCCCAGTTTGAGCCAGGACCCAGACATCTTGAACAAGATGTTGGGCTTCAACAGCCCTGTGGTTCGCAAACGACTCCAGCCTCTTTGTTGTTAATAGGTTCTCCATGCAAATTCTCCGCATTCTCTTCCAATTTGGGCCTAATGGGGCCAAGGCCACATCTCCACATCCATACGCTAGATGGACAGCAGCGAGTGTCCGTGGTCTGGAGGCAAATGTTTCATCTTGCCGGAGAAGTATCTCACGTATGACATCGGGGTCATTGGTGGTGATGGCGTCGATGCTACCTAGGCGAAGGTAGACCAATGGCCCATATTTATCACACAAGGAAGCAAGATCTCTGTGAGGCAATTGGCCCAACTGAAGGAGGTTGCCAAATATGGGCCATCTAGGTGGGCCTGGAGGAAGCCTTTTCTTCTTATGCAGAGTCTTTTGACTGAGGCAGCGATGTATGATGATAACGACGAGAGAAGCAAAGAGAAGGATCGAAGCAAATATGGCGAAGTCCATGAGTATCACTGAGTTCTTGAGCTAACAGATATAGCTACTTTGATTTGGTTATTTATGAAGTGCCATAAGGTATCCCAGTTAGAATCCTTCAAAGTTTGCATGTTATGCTTGGGGGAAAGGTTTATTTGCTCCTATATATATATATAAGATTTAAGGTTCTTGAAATTTATTCATAAAATAATAAATAATTATTTATTTATATCCACAACCTTGACATGCCGCAAATATTTTTGCTTTGCTGTTTTTGTTTTTATATGAGAATAAAAATAATACCACTTCTTTGGTTGGTGAAACATGCGGATAGTGAATAGGGTAATACTACACTGATAATCTAATCTCATAAACATATTCTCATAATTTTGATGTGATAACTCACAATTAATCAGTTTGCAGTGGGTCTCGCTTACTAAATTGCGAACGATTACGTCAGATTATGAGAGAAAATTTATAAAATTGGATTGTAAGTCAATCTTTATTATAATGAATATTGATTCAAAAATAATATTTTATTTGATTTTAAGTTAACTTATGTTGAATGAAGAGCACAAAAAGTGCATGAGCTCCCTAATTAGTAGAGGCAATAGAGATGAAACTTTAGGCATCAATCAAATTTGAATGCGGCCATATAAACAATTTCAGCTTGTTTTATTTTTTCAAAAGAAAATTTGGATTTCAAAGATTGTTGAAGTTAATTTCATCGTCACAGACACTAAATCGCAGTCGAAAAATGTAGAAAGAATAGTAATAACTTACATTTGGCACTGCTTTATAAAGTAAATCTAAGAATAAGGTACAACAAATGGTTCCATGGTCTAGTGGTCAGGACATTGGACTCTGAATCCAGTAACCCGAGTTCAAATCTCGGTGGAACCTTTTTTGTCCGATTAACAATCGATTCAGTTGATAATAGGCGGGAGTCAAAGCCCTTCCACCCTTTTTCCTATTTTTTTTCAGTTGGCAATAGGCGGGATTCAAAGCCCTTCTTGAATAGGGGAATTCAAAACCTTAATTTGGACTCAAAACCCTAAATCGTTAATTCCGACTTAGTAATTTCGAAATCTTATTATTAGTTTTTTTTTTCGATTGGCAATAGGTGGAGTCAAAACCCTTATTGAATAGGGATTCAAAACCCCATTTTGTCTGTTCCAATTTAGCAATTTAAAATAACTTTCTTTAATCTCTATCATGGAGGCTGCAAGTCGCGAGAAAATCGAAGAAACAGTAAAGGAAATTCTTAAGCATGGGGACATGGAGGAGATGACTGAGTTCAAGGTCCGGATGACGGCCTCTGAGCGACTGGGTGTCGATCTCTCTGACGCTGATAACAAGAAGTTTATCAGAGGCGTGTTGGAGTCCTTTTTGCTTTCTACCATCGAAGACACTTGCGATGCTAAAGAGACGGATTCAAATGTTCAAGAAGAGACGGAACACCAACAAATCAAACTAGAGAAACAATGTAATGAGAACGGAGATCGTGTCATGTGTCAGGTTAACTTTTTCTTTTATAAAGAAGGAGAGCCATTTTTACTTACGTATTTGCATTTACTAAATCCCGTTCATTTTAATTTAGCTTTCAAACAAGAGGAGGGTGGTGATTCAAGAATTTAGGGGGAAAGCTCTTGTATCAATTAGAGAATACTATCAGAAAGATGGAAAGCAACTTCCATCCGCTAGAGGTAATTAATTCTACGTATGGTGTTAAAAGTTCTCTTGTTTCCTTGTAATTCTTGTTGTTGATTACAAATAATCTATGTCTCTCTGTTATTATATTCAAATTGCTTAAAGAGAAGATTGTTTTTTGTATCCATAACTGTCTCATTTATTTCTCTTTACTTGCTGAAATGCGCCTCATGCTGCCGTAGTAATGCAGCTAATGCCTAAAGATGATCTATCTGTTTTTGGTATTTGATTTATTATGCTGTTGCTGTGAAATTGAAACTGTGTATGTTTTGGCTGGCTTAAAAATTATGCATCGCAGAAGCTGTTAGTCCATTTAGATTTGATGGTGTTTTTGACAATTTTGAGGCCTTTGATTGTTTGTGTAAAGCAAAAGTTAAATTTACAACAAATATTGCTGATGAACAGAGTTGTAATTTAGTTATTGGTGCCTTCCTTTCTGTGAATCCTATAGTTTGGATCAGGGACAGATGTTTTGAGTCTTTTGACACTGAAAGCTTTTGTTACTTATGCTGTTCTTGTAGGAATTAGTTTAACAAGTGAGCAATGGGTAGCCTTCAGGAAAAGTGTCCCTGCAATAGAAGAAGCTGTGATGAAGATGCAATCGAAGTTAAGGTGAGAGTAGTATTTGAAGGCAGTGTTATTATGGTGTCTTTAAAGTCTCAACTGTGAATTTTGAACTTATCGATTTGGTTATGGCTTCTTTCTTGTCTTCAAAATGTTAGTATGTCCTCAATTAAATCCAATGATGTTCTAATCAGTACTTGAGTGAGAGCATGTTTTATTTCATAGTCTTTATATGATAGTCATCTCTTGGCTATAAAGCAGGTAATTAAATGATTGACTGACTTGGACCATGTAATCAATATACTGTAGATCTGAATCTAAAGGTGAACAAAAGGAAGATGTGCCAAATTCAGTGACTTCACCAGTTGAACTTTCTCCTGCAGAGCCCAACCGTTTCAATGGGAAGGATTACCTCTCGTGGGCGCCACGAATGGAATTTTTCTTAAAGCAATTACAGATTGCTTATGTCCTCACTGACCCTTGCCCTAGCGTTACTTCAAATGCACAAGCAAATAGTGAAGAAATTTTTAAACTGAAGACTGCTGAACAGAAATGGTTGAATGATGACAACACGTGTCACCGCCACATTTTAAACTCTCTATCTGATCATCTCTATTACCAGTACTCAGATAAAACTAAGAGTGCTAAAGAATTGTGGGAAGAGCTAAAATTAGTTTACCTTTTTGAAGAAATTGGAACAAAGAGATCTAAAGTTAAGAAGTACATTGAATTTCAGATGGTTGATGAAAAATCAATCCTTGAGCAAGTTATGGAACTTAATAATATTGCTGATTCCGTTGTTGCTGCTGGAATGTTGATTGATGAGAGCTTTCATGTTAATGTTATCCTTTCCAAGCTTCCACTGTCTTGGAAGGGCCTCTGCATAAAGTTGATGCATGCGGAACATCTTTCTTTCTTGACTTTGATGGATCATATAAAGGCTGAGGGAGAGACTTGCGAGCGAAACAGTCAAGGGGGGCCATCCAAGCTTCTAGACCCTCTAGCCATAAATTTTGGACCAAGGATGAAAGAAATGAAGAGGCCAGGGATGAGCTGGAAGAGGCGAGAATCAGAGATTGATGGCAAGACCATAGTGTGTTACAATTGTGGGAAGAAGGGGCACATGTCCAAACATTGTCGTAATAGGAAATTTGACAAGGAAATCAATGAGAGACAGAACGGGGACAATTCAACTACACCTGCTGAAACAGGAGGTTAACGTGATTATGAACAGCATGGAATAGGCGAGTAGCTGACTGCCGCTGAGAAGTTACAACCATTTTTGTGGGTACACATACTCTTGTATAATACTTCTACCGTGGAAAAACTGAACTCGAAGTTCTGTAAATCATGTAACCGCTGGCTGTAAACCATATTTTTTGTTGGCAGATAACAGAGTCTGTAAATATGTGATATAGAATGATGTGAGTAAGAACTTGGGTCACATGGAAATGCCATATTTACCTTGAGTATCAGTTATATAACTGGTCTATGTAACTTGTTAGGCTCGGATTTTAATATTTTGGTTAGATGCATAAATCATCATGGGTCTGGCTCAGATTCTTTGTTATTATGTTTACGCATCAAGTGGGCAACCTGGTGATTTCTAATCAACTGGTTATTCTTGGTTAGACATAAATTGGAGATTTTTTGATGACTTATGTTTTGTAGCTGGGCAATATTATATCTAATAAAACTATTCTGACAACTTGAACGAACACGACTGTTTCCTAATTATACAAAGAAGACTTCATATGTTACCCAATGGGGCCCGTGAAGCGACTCAGTGTTTCCTTGTTCCTGAAAACATGTTAAAAGTCTTCAGTTAATCAGTAATCTTAAATTACAAATTTAAATAAGCTTTACTCTTTTTCAATTTATCGTTCAAATTTGTTAAATTCAGTTGTCTTTATTATTTCAATTCAGTACGATTAAATTCAATTATAATTTACGCATAGAGGTATCGAGATTATTTTCCTTTTACAGGTAAAATTTAAAATATAGAACGTTGTATGCCCAGGTAAGGGATTATAATATTTAGACAATAAATCTGTTATACTATCGTGAAACGCGCATACCAAACAAGTTTGTTGCTCCAGTAGGTTCGTATTGACTGCTAACTTCGTGATATTTACACAATTTACGTAAAATAAGTTTGTTGCTCCAGTCCAATGGTCAAATCAGAACAGAAGCATCCTGAATTATGAAATTTTGAACGTTCTCATTTGATATTATTCATCAAGATTAGATGGCCAAAATGGAAAATGGGTCCACAAATTTATATTAAAGTTTGTTGTAGATACGATTGTACTGAAAGTTGAAACCTCCAAATTTGACCATCACATGGCATGCTTTGGTTGTGTGTCCATCAGCACCAGCACCTCTTCAAGGCAACGAAAGAAGTTTTAGTAAGATAAATGAATAAATAAATAAAAGGGACCCAACAAGTGATTGAAAGGTTGGCATGCAATTAAACGCATAAAGGACTTTATGTGACTTATAATTCAGGCATATGTTTCAGTATTTATTCATTTTTCATGCTGCGAGAAACGACGAACATGGACATGGGGCACTTATGCGATCACGTTTTTGCCTTTGTAGACCATACCAAGATAATGTTGAATTCTAACCAAACCCAACTCAAAGATAAGTCTTGATGTTGGATTTTTAGCTTATAGTTCAAACTAGTACCAAAAGATTTTTAAAGATTTCACATGTGCCACATGACTTTTATTAATATCTTCACGGGTACAAAACGCGGATACTTTGGTCCACAAAGGTTTGTCTTTGTTGTTCTATTAGTTTATGCAAATCATTGATTGTTATGCAAGCAATTCTCTACTCATTTTTGTTTTTAATGCATTTAATTTTTTTACCTTTTTATTTCAGCTTCTTTTTCTGCTAGGATTGGGAGATACCTCAAACCCCCTTTACAGAAAGGAGAAATCTTAAAGGGAAGGCTTCGATTTTGAGAACAAATATTGGTTCTCCCCATCTTTTCATGTGCATCTAAAGGAGCTTCGTTTGGTTATTAATAAACACAAAGAAAAATAAAACTGATTTGAGAATCTTACAGTGTTCAGCTGTTGGTTTGCCATAAAAACAGAAAAGATCAACCCAACAACACTTAATCTATTATTTTATGTAGTCCAACTGGCTTTTATTGAGAATAGAATAAAGATTCAATTCCGATAGTACCAACCAATCAAACTATTCGAATCCTAGCACAAAGGATGACTCGGTTTCATGCCAGAATTGGCTTCGTTCTTCAGGCAAGGCAAATGAAGTAACTCCATCTCCATCTTTTCTTTCCCATGGGAAAAAGACAAGCATATTGTGGTAGTGGTGCCAACATTTAGTTCCTAAGAAAATAGCACCTTCCTAAATTTACTGTCTGATGCTGACATGAAGCAACAATCAAGGAAAGCATTATTAGAGATTACATTTGAAAACAAGAAAATGAATAGTAATGACCACTAGGCTTTCATCAGCCAGTTTTTAGCGTCCCATGCATTTTGTTTGGCCATTTCTGCTATAAAAAGCTACGCAGATTTGCAAATATTCTTTCCAATTACAGGTCAAATCTGAAACTAAAAACAAGTTTTATTAAAATACCGATTTCTCATAAACATCAAGCAATGATCACATCAAGAAATTTGATATGACTAATTTGGTGAAGCCACCAACCCACTTGCCCTTTATTCAAGAACCAATCACCAATATTCGAGTGAATGGATGGAAACCGAAAGCCAAATAACAACACTATCACCAAATTCTACATGAAGCAAGAAGCAAAACACTCCGTGAACAAGAAAGGGAGAAGAAGGAAAGGCCATGCAAAAATACAGCACATTAAATTCATCCTTTAGTCCCTCAGAGGAGACAAGCAGCAATAACTTACAATTAAGCATTCCACTGAAGCGCATGAATTGGCAAAGAACAAAAAATATGAGCAATATTCATAAAAAAGAAAAAAAAATTATCAGTTCCTTAATAACCAACAATGATAGATTGGTTAAACTTACAAATATAATTCATCTTGCAAAAATACTTCCTTATAACAGAAAATATGTATATTATAAACAATCACATAAAATTTGCTGCCCTACTTGGTCAATAAGTAGTTATTTTCTACTTCTAGCTGGCCCTGCTGTTCCCAGGATCCTTTGCTGTATAACAAAACCGGGGAACAAGCTCCATATCGGTTCTTCTCTACATTTTATGCCTATGGACTAAGTTAAATGCCATTCTTGAGCTACCACTGCTACCCAGCTGATGATAATGGCTGTAAAGAGTTGGATTCGCAGGAAAAAGCAGCAATCAACTTCTCTTTTGTCAGCTGCTCGGATCCTTGAGATTTGATTACAAATGTGTGAAACACAGTATCATTTGCTGCAGCCAGTTTTGACTCAACAACTGTGATCTGTGCCTCTTTAAATGCTTGGATGACTCTTGATGCAGGGTGTGAATCCAAAGGACAGCTTACTCTCACAATAACCTCATCATGAGCAGCCTGAATATCAATATCTGGAGCTTGCTGCAGACTTTCTGCATTTGGGTTAGATTCCAAAGCAGATGAATCTCTTGAAGTGCTACCCCTCTCTGCTTCCATGACCTTTAACTTTGCCTGAAGCTCATTGATATAAGCAATGGCATCACCCAACAAGGAAGCTTTATCCATCTTGGATATGTTAGGTACTACAGCTCGTAATGCATAGAACCGCTGGTTCAGCTTCTCACGCCGTTGCCTCTCAGCCTCCACATGATTGAGAGGTTCTTCTCTTCCATTTGCAGGCTTTCTTCCCCTTTTCCGAGGCCTTCTCTCTTCAACTACATTAGGCCGCTCATCCTTACATGAGGCTTCAACATCTGAATGCTCGGATTCCCCACTTAGTGGTCTAGCTATCACAGTAGACTTAGAAGTAGCCCCAGAAAAATCAATTTGCATTTGCACAGGCTTTTGAGAAGGGTAGTGGCTAATTCGAAAATCTTCCCTAACACCATTGTTCACAAGCTCCTGAAAATTATTAGCTGAAGTCTGAGAACCAAAAATTTCAGTTGGGCTCCCTTGTTTCACACCTTGAACATTTCCCCAACTGAAACCATGAACACCATTCCGAGCACTTGGAAAAGCAGTCCTATTCCCATTGGCATAAGCTTCCCATGATGGTCTCTCTTCCATCTTTCTGACAGCAAGTTTTTCCCTGCTAAAAGGGGCATGCACATGACCTGTGCTGTTCAAATCCTGGCCAAAAATCTTTTGAACTCCTTCCACTCTCTCCAAAATCCCCAAATTCGAAAACCCTCCATTCTCATCTTTCTTCTCACTAGTAACGGGTAAGGATGCAGCAATTGGCTTAACCCTTATCATAGGAGAATTAGCAGAGAACGCAGCCCTTATTGACTGCACCAATTCCAAACTTTCAGGTACTGATCTAACAGACCCCAATTCAACAACCCCAACATCAGTTGAAACCAAAACAATGGTCTGAATTCCAGCAGACCTTGCAAGAAATGACCTAACACAGTAATCAGAACCCAATTTCAGGGCATCCAACGACCAGACATGCTTTCCAGATGCAAAACACTTGCCCGGGCCACCTTCTCCACGAGGGAAAGAGAAATACATAGATGCTAAAAAGAACATCTCTGTATCAGTAACCCTGTCCAATCCTAATGCATAATTATCCTCATCCGATCCCCCAAACAAAGTATGCAGCTTTTGCAAAACCCTTTTTCGCATCCTCTGTTGAGTCTCATCTTCAAGCCTAATATTAAGAAGCCGTGTAATCTCTGATTCTTCTCCTTCTTTTGGCTCTCTACAAGACCCGTCACCCCATCCTAAAACCAAATCACCAGACTTAGACCGCGAAATTTGCCAAAAAATGGCGTAGTTCCAGCTAAAATTTGATGCGTTTGGTTGGTCCACGAGATCAGAAAGCTTGTGTTGTAGATTTTCATCACTGCCAATGGCCATTAAGAGATTCTCGTTTGAAATAGAGCTCGATATCAAGTAATCAAAAGCTCTTGTGCCCAGAACAGCAGCTATCATGGTCTTATCTTCATCATTCCACAAACTACCTCCCATATTAAACTCAAATTTCATATCTAAACTTAACCTAAAAAATCAATATTTAAAAATTTTAAGTAGCCAGATCAAATCGACTATCTAAAACCCCAAAAAGAAATATCTAAAATAAACTAGAATTAAATGCACTTAGAAAATCCAGAAAACCCACATGGTTTTCATTACATAAGATGAGAGCACAAGCTTGTGATTT